CCTTTGACTCTTTCTCAATCCCCTCGTTGCCAAGGGAACAGGAAATTTAAGATTGAGCATGCCGTTACAAAGGCTATGGTCCAGCCAACAATTGTGCCAAGTTTGATGGATATGGAAGCATCTTTTATAGTTTGTAAGCAATTTGAACTTAGTATAGACAGGGGGTCGAACGTATAGCGGTGCGATACACCTAAAAGCGAAGTGAAATCATGCGATACGGACTAATGGCGGATTAATTCGTGTAAACACACGTCAGAGTGAGTGTATTTTATTTATTATTTCATAAATCTTCGATTACAATTGCATATTTTGTATTGAAGATGTGAAAATAGGAACGACACACATTTCATCAAAATTACAGAGGCTGAAATTAATAAATAAAAAAATTATTGAAGATAATCTGACGGCAACTGATTTTGTGCCGGTGAATGCAAACTTATATTATCATAGTTAATTTCTTTTTCTTCTTTATTCTATAAGGGTAATCATAATTGAGTTGCATAACGAGTACCTTTGTGCTCGATATACATAGACGCTTACTGGTCAAAATATATAAGTGTACGCTGGGTTTTGGTGCGATAAAATAACTGTACGCTGTTAAAGGTTCAATATTTTTTAATTATCACATCTGTTGACATGTTTTCCTATGATTACTCTAAGAGATCTACCATATATGTGTCCGTTTCCGGATTTCTGTTTTTATATCTTCTTCTTTCCTAAAGGATTTACTTCAAATAAACGTTTCGTATCACCATCTATATAAGTATTACTCTTTGAACTAAATTTTAATAATTAGATATCTACAGGTGATAATTAAAATAGAGTTGGAAAAAATAACCTTTACTCTAAGATCTTGGATAACTTTATTTCTTGTCATCTCTCAATTTTTAACAACGTTCATAGTTACTGTATTTTCATTCCAAAAATTTGTTAGCCTTTTCAACATCAGGAGTCTGTTATTTGTACTGTATCTTGTTTGTGATCTATTTTTCCTTAAAATCATGGAATTTGTGTTAAGTTTTTTTTTTGTAGTCAAATTTATTACTGAAGACTCTATGCAATTTAATTTTGTAGTTTATTTTCCACTTTCGTTCATCTATGATATGTCTGTCATTTGATTTTGCTCATAATATTGATTATGCAATACTGTATTCCTAGAAATTGTTTCGCGCTTATTAAATTAGCGCTTTCCGCGTTGAATACATTTCCGCGAATGTTTGGATTCGCAAAAAATGTTGCATGTAACAAATCCGCGAAAATTTGTAGCTTAGAATTTCTACAGCGCACATCATTCACATAAAATGCAACATGCAAGTTCAAAATGTTTTATAACTACAACTTAGGCAAGAAAAAAGAGCAGTTCAAACACATTTAGAAAGGCACTAGCTTACATAAGAGATCAACAGAAGCATGTTAAAGGACTCTTTAGGAACCTTAACAATAGTAAAACAGTATAATTATGCCATCAGTCCTTATATCATGTTGTACATTTAATTCTGCAACTTTTATATGTTGATATATACATTTTTAGTTTATTTAAATTCAAAAAGTAGGAAAAGTAGGAATATTTGTAAAATCAGTAGGAGTATGACAAAAAGTAGGAAAGTAGGAAAAAGTAGGACTACTTTTAAACCTGTATAATAAAAGTGCCACAATGGCTTTAATCTTTGATCTAAAATGACATTAAATAAATAGGGGTCATCTAATAAGCTTTTGTCAATGTTTTAATGTGGGTTTTTTTTTAATTTCTAAAAAAATATTATAACATCCAATCCATAGAGGAAATCAAACCAGTATCTTTTCATAAAATTTCAAGTTCCATTGAAAAAAAACAAAAACAAAAAAAACTGAAAGAGGGTTTTCAATTAAAACAGCCACTTTTCGCAGTAATGGGTTAACGTCAGTGTTTGCTAAATTAACTTTATAATGTGATGTCTTAATTTTTCTAGGTGTAACTTTTACGTGAATCGATGAGATTATTACAATGTACTATTTTGATTGATTATCACGACATTAACAACCCTTCACAATAATGTAAATATTAAATCAACATGAACAAATACATAAAGAAACATTGTGGAATTGTTACCGTTTTATATTATCTCTACGAAGAAAATATAAAACGTTTAAATAAAATGTGTTGGCAAATAAGATAAGAATTTGATATATTGGACCGAAGATAACAACCAAAAATATCTGATTCTTGGTGGGTGTAATTCAAGTGTTATTTTCATTTTATTAAAATAGAATTAATCAAAATCATCAACGTGTTTTTAAATGAGATGTGCAGGTGTTTGAATGATGCATAAAGTTTTGTTTTTGGAAACAGACATGGGATTTAATGTCTGAAAAGGCAACTAGTTATTGATAAAAATTAAACATAAAAGTATGAGATGAATACGTATAGAATAGACAGGATACACGGTGTGGGTGGTTTGTTGCAAGTTACAAGTAACTATAAAAAAATTATCACACTGTGGTGTTAATTAGAAATCACTTCAATATAGTATATTACGTGTATTTCATTATTATAATATATATTAACCAACACTTCAAATCAAATTTCATTGCGCGTTCTTACATAGATATATGTATATTGTATCTTTAATACTAACAATTTCGAAGATCGAAGTAAATATGATTGAAATATTGAATATATTAACGAAATTTGAATTAAACTTTTTATACGCTTTCAATTTTAAAACAGTTTAAAACATAGAATAAAATTAGAGTAGATATAAGAATCTTACACCGGCTGCCGGTACAGACCAGATTATCTAGCTCGATGGTAACCATTTTTGGCGGTAACGAGTTTCCGCTAAACAGTTACCCGAGAGCTACACATGTAGATTTTCCTGTCTGTGACGCAGCCGGTGTTTGGTTCTTTCTCTTGCATATTACAAGTTAATGATTTTTTTAAAAGTCTTTTTGAAAACTGATATTTTCATTTAGCACCTTTTTCTTGTAGTAGCGTATGAATTTACAACTTCATACATAACAGGAAAATGACGTCATCTAAATAACGCAATACATTTATAAAATGCGCGTGGGAATGACGTCATTTAAAACACGCGACTTGTCTTACATGGGGGTTTAAGACAGGGTTTTCTAGCACCGGTGTAAACGGTAGATAATCCTGCCTGATGTGCAAGCATTCCACAAGAATTTTTGTAGATTATGATTTTCAGTTGATTTTCTGCAATTGCTCTTGGTAATTACTCCTGTTTTGAATTCATAAATCAGGACAATAAATACAAAGGGAAATACAATATTGACAATCGATATGTGTACTAACTACAATTGTATGAAAATCACAATGTTTTAACATATAATATCCTTTTAGTTTTAGAATAAGCCCTAGACAAAAATAAACCAATACGAGCTAATTAGTCTTTGTTTATTTCCTACTGGGAATGTGTGATACCCCCGCGCCATTCCAACCGCTCTAAAACCTATACTGATACAACAATGTACATGTATATAACATGTGCAAAAAACTCAATAGTTATATATCGGTTGAGCTTTTTTTTTCCTATATGAAACAATGACAAAACAACATTGTTAAATATCAATACAGTTTTAAAATCCTCATTAAAACTATACTGAATATAATAAGTTTAATAGAAAGAACAAAGAAACAATTCCTAACTATACGATAATTAATCATATTAAGTATACAGATCATATTTATATACATGCATACTACATACGAGCCCTTTTCAAACAACAACTAAAGATTTTGTAAACTGTCATAAAATCTTTAATATGATTTGTCAAGGGAAATACAGTTATAGGAGCTATCGGTGTAGAAACCATGATATAATTTATTTAATTTCACAGCTCAGACAACACCAATTGTATTTTACTTTGAACTTATATATCAGTATCCAAACACAGAACACTTTCAGAACAAGATAAATGCATTAATTTGTCAGTTTCAAATGTACACCTGCAAGCAATGTAAAAATGCAATCAGTGTTTTGTTTACTTTAAACCCCTTAAATATCATCCATAACGACCGATTGAAAATACATGTATCGCATGCTTGATTCAATTGGACCTGATAATGGGCGGCTGTGGTTGATATAAGGCACTCTAGCACCCACCTGCTTAAGCAAAGCACTTTCAAATAGGAAAATACAGTAAGAAATAAAATGAATTGGTAGATAAACAAAGGCATACAGTTGCAATGAACGATATGCATAGGTTCAACATTTAGTCAACCTAGTATTAAAGGAAACTTGAAATGTGTTATCGAAAGCATTTCCGTTACCAATAATTATATTGATAGACAGAACATCAACTTATGAAAGCCCGAATATGCTGACCAAAATATTAGCATGGCTATTACTGAGCCCCTGTAACGTTGACTACAGAATTGCATATTGTGGTTGACAACGAAAAAAATGTTTGAGTGTTTCAGTATCACATGAAAACGTTTGTCAAACTCATCATTAATTTTTTATTTGTTGTCTCTTTGTAAACATTTTTTCTTCAATTTCTTAAAGTATTGTTGTTTATGACATTTTCTTATACCACCCATAGAGGATAAGAAACTGTTTAGATGAAACTCTGTATGTATACAGTATCAGTTATTTTTAACACATTAAGTTATTCTAAATTGGTCAAGACAACGAATATGTTGCTATGTTCTTCCAATCTGTTTACAGTATAAACTGCCGGTTCAAACGTTTCCTCTAAACTTTACAGTTTATGTATGTCTTCCGACTTCGTTTAAATATCATAATTCCAAATCATGTTAGCAGCTTTTGGATCAGGCGTTTTCAAACTGATTTGTTCACTTAGCATATTTGGTCAAATCATATCACATTTCTAGGGTCTCCATTTTTAAAATACTCACTGAGCAAACCTCAAACATATACCAACACTTGTATAACACTAACTGTGTTGACACGATAACATAAATAGATATTTTAGTATAATCAAAGTTCAAAGCATTGGCTAAATTATATTTTGTATTTATAAACTGCGGTATACAGAAAATGCTAAGATTTACTAAACTGTAATCAACAAATTCGAAAGATGAAGGTTTATTCAATAATTAACAGATGTTAAAATAATCACGAACCAATTCGTTTTCATATCATTTGTCAGAACAGACTGATATTTTATTTGCCAGAATCATGCAATTTAGCCGTTTTAATTAACCTAATGAACAAAATATATTACAGTCTACTGTGACAATATAAGCACGTGTGCTATTATTGATTAAAATATGCTAAATAAACATTTTATGATTTGATTTCTTTTATTTGTACATATGCTATTATTAATCAAAATATATTTAATTAAAATTGTACAAGTTAATTTCTATTTTGCACATGGTGCATGATATAGAATATATATTAGCGTCCTTTCCCTTGTTATCTATAATTGAATTCAAATATCTAGCTTGAATATTTGCTTTCGTTCTTCTTTTGTCTATCAGTATCGGACTTAAAACACATCTTTTTTTAAGGCACGTTGACTTTGTTATAAAGCAATTATTTTTCCATTATCTAAAAGGTATTTTCTTTACTTTCATATTTAGGCAAACTGTTATGGAAGCTTCCATAAATTTACATTCATTTCTATCTAACATTTTTCAGGTAAACCCTTTCACTTAAATAAATAGCCTTATCTCATCTGCATCTATGTCAGATAAAACAAATGATTGTAAAGACATATCAGACTGTTGAAGCTACGTGTGTAACTTCAAAGTCGAATTAACGCACGTTATTTCAAAACCTTGAATTATTTTAGATCATATGACTGTGTCTATTTTTATATTTGTTTTAACGATACTACTTGTATATGACACAGGATTAAAACTGTTTCCATAAGATATATTGCTATTTAACTACGACTGTTTACAACAAAATGTCGTGATTATATTATTTTCAAGTATTTGAAAAATAAATATGAATTCAAGGGTAATGAAAAATTTCCCACTACGGCGAATGTAATAAGAAACATTTTAAATATCGTCAACAACAGAGTCCTCTCATTTCGGAATAGACTTTTCTAATATTTATATCAATTTAATGTGTTAGGTCACAGCACAGGTACGAGTATTTATTTTGTTACAGATAAAAAATTTAAACAAGCAAAGTATTTTCAGTAACTCGCTTAAAGTCTTGCACAAATTATTTCAGGGTATCGTAGCCTAATTTTGAATTTACATCATTAATCAGTTCACAGTTTTTCCGTTCATTATTACGTCTTATCAAATATGCATTTATCATGCTACTCATTGTGACGTAAACAGCAGTTCCGATGGAAACGTAGTACACCATGTTATAATTTCCAAACACATCCCGAGCTGTACCTAAACAAAGAAGAAAAATAACATAATATATATTATTAAAATATGTAAGTGGAATAATAAAACGTTTCTTTTCTCAAAACAATCAACACAACATAATCAAATTTTTAAATAATTTATAACTTACCTCCTAAAACACAACTGAGAAAGTCTCCAAGACCTATTGACACGTTAGCAAATGCCATCGCTGCTGGGTATTTCTCGTACCCCGACGCTTCATATACTACTGTAGGTGTGAGTGCATTGAACATGCTGAATGCAGCTCCGCGTAAAACGCATGCCAGCATTAAAAGTTTAAAAGAATCTATAAATCTTAATACAAGTGTATGTGCAGCAGCCAAAATTAAACACAAATATATGAAATGATTCATCATTGGCCATTTTTTGCATTTGAACACAATTAAACTAGCAAGAGCACGTCCAAGCACAGCAGCCACACCGGTTACTGATATCACAATCGAGCCTTCACTCCTCGTAAAGTTATTATCAATCATTTGGTCAACAATAAAAAGACCTTCAATATTTCCTGAAATAAAATTTAATGTCTATTAAAAATGATTAAAATTGTCAAAGACGAAAACCTAGAAAGTCATTTTTTGCTTCTTTTTTTCATATATTCATGAGAGACAATAAAAACTGAAAACAAAAAAGGTTTCGCTTGTTACATGTAGCACTGGCTTTTGCAGCATTCTATCTAGTGGTACATTTTTAATTTAAACATACTGAAACAAGTCAGACATCACAAAGCCTACATTATTATAACAAAACATTGCCATTACTGTAAATTAATGCTGATTTGTTTTCTATGGAATTGCTATATCAAACTTAAATTGACCAGTGCTCATAAAATTTATTTCGATTAAAAAGAACTTGTCCATTCATCCTTGTGTATGCTGAATATTGATTTCGTTTCATTATTGAATGTTCAAATTTGTTAAAGTGTATTATGAAAAGAAAACTTAAAATGTAAAATAAAATAAGAATTTTCTGCATAAAGACGTGAAACAATAAGAATTAAATACTTAAGAATGTTATGATTACTGACCTGTCATAAACATCAGGAGGACATTAAACATTATCGAACACAGAGTAAAATCTTTGAAAATGTTGGTATCACAAACAACTGGCGTTGATGATGCTCCTTGTTTGACGTCACTAAGAGAGTCAGACCGTGCGTACAATATTATTGCAAATGGCAAACACTGTAAGACGAAACCCGCGAGAATGACAAATGCTCCTGACCAAAAGAACTTGGCAATGACAATCTCAAATATCATCGGGACAGCAACGTGTCCAAAGCTTGCCCCGAGTGTAAGAGCTGTCAGATATAAGCGAGGATCTTTCTTGAATGCCTCACTTACAGAAATAAATGTCGATAGATAGCAAACGCTCATGCCTATCCCTAAAATGAAAGTTTAAATGTTATGTCATTATAAGACACATACATTTTGTGCAATCATCTTGACTGTATATCGTCATGTGTATTGTGTGAAACTGTGAAACAATGCATTAATAAACAACTGTTTTGAACCAATTTAGAGTATGCTTTTACAATCAATATGATTTTAAAATAAAAAAGGATATTTTAAAGAAGTCTTACTATGGTTTGCTTTCAAAATACACGCATAATGGTTTACTTACCACTCACTAAGCCAGCAAAAGCAATAATTTCTGCCATATTGATAGCAAATGAGCATCCAATAAGCCCGACGGTAGATAAAAGAATACCAAATATAGTTGATGGCCCTGTGCCTAACTTTTGTATAATCCAACCCCATAATATGCCTAGAAAAAAAAACAATTTTTCGTATAATTCCAGATAATTTCTATTTTCTTATTTTGACATCTTAGTCCGACTATTTGGAGGATATAGGCTGTTGTACTCACTCCGGCATCAACGTCGGCTTTGTTTCCAGATTTTTACACTTTTGTTAAGCTTTTGCGTGCAATTTGGTATCTCCAAAACAACTGAAATTCATTGGTTGAAACACCACATATTTACTTGCGAGCATAATAGGAGTTCACTGTCAAAGGCCTATATCTCTAACATTGAATTATTGATCTTTTTTAGTTACATTAATCCTTAAAAAGCAAAGGCTATTATGTATATCAAAAGGAATAGCAAAGCATATACTATGTTAAATCAAGATATAGTGTAATGTTTGGCTTTCTATTCTCATGAAATTGCAAAGTGTATCCTGGTGAATAGTAATATATAAAAAAGTAATGGCTAAGTGATCAACGGTAAAATGAAAGCAATGAACTTATGTTAAAACCAAAGTTAACGATCTCGGCTCCTCCGCATTCAGAAACATATTAAGAGAAGGCATACAGCGATATGTGTCATGAACTACTTTACACTGAGAAAAAGGGAACAAGTTGAAACGTCAAAAATCCACTCTGCCAATATATTTTGGAACTTAGATGAGTTGATTATTTGTTTTATGTTAATGCTGTTGAGTGAAGGTGACAGAAAGGAGATAAACATAGAAACAATATTATGTTTAAAGTAAATATAGTCTTCCCCTCGATACTTCTAGCTACATTTAACAAATGTGAAAACAGATAATCTTACGTTCTCCCTCCCTCATTAATCACATTGTTTTTGTTAATCTGATATTCATTTTTCCAAGGCTTAAAATAGACCTGCCTGCTAAATGACAATATATTAGAATATAAGTAGTTTGTTCACTATTAACTCTTACATCCGTTCAGTCAGACAAGCTCTAATTTCCATCTTGGCATCCGTGCAAATCCCCACAATTGAAACCTTAATTTAAGGAATTTAGAAGGTAAAAGTTCAAAATGAATTCGGTATGTTATAAACACTCAAATTGCACTTTTACTATTTCATTCTCACATCCATTGTTTTTATTATTTAAGATAAATGTTAGATTACATATTATAAAAGATAAATAATGATTACAATAATTCGTATAAATTCTTCCATGAAACATTTCTGTAACAGTAGGATCCAAAGACAATAAAAAGAATGAGCTAAAATTGTATGTATGGCCTGATGAACTTGTTCTTTAGAAATGTCTGGAAATGTAGCAGCTATCGCCATCATATTTTCGTTTTGGCAAAGTCTTGCAAAATTTAAATTAAACCGAAAACAATAAACAGTATAAGATTGTTATTTTCATTTACTATTCGAATTTGATAAACAAGATGATGATCTATTGATAATTTAAATTTATGCTTAAGCTGTCAATCTCATTGGTGATGTCATATAACATTACTACCTAATAAGCATATGAATGGATTTCATATGTTGACACCAGAAAACAAATTCAAATGAGAGTGGCATTTTTCTGCCTTAACCGGTCATATCACATTTGTTTGCCTTTAACCATTAGGATTGGTGCTATCAACAACGGTTTCTTTACATTACCTCCACTGAAAGTCATACAAAAGTATATTCCTTGAACAAAAGAAGCTTCGAATCTTGAGCTGTTAAATACTGTAAGGAGTTCCGCAAACATTACGCTATAACCATAACCGATCCCCACCGACACAAACTGTATAAATAATCCAGATATAAAAATCCCACATTTTCTGTCATTCAGTATAAGCATCCTAATACCAAAATTGTTACGGTATACGTTTAACAATGCAGTTTTTGATATGCCTCACTCTAACAGTATCTGAATTTTCGAAACAGATTATTTTTATTTAATATTCTAATTACGTTATGAAATCAGCTGGTTTAATTATTTTGATATTGCATGCATGCTGATGTGAGAAGTTTTATTATAATAATGAAATTTACAGAACATTATTATAATATAAAACATGTTAAGTAGACTGAGATGTACAATGGATTTCATTAGTATTTTTTCAAAACGTGCAAAGTGTATATGCAACTAAGTTGAAAGTATGACTGATAAAAATCACCATCCTAACACCATAATTATGTTACTCACTCCAATCAGGGTCTTTCAAATAGAATGGTCTCAAGTCGGACATATTTTACGATAAAAAATGTCTCGGCTTTGTCACATAATTAGGTTATCAACCGACCGTGATCTGGCCTAGTACATCACCATTCCAAAATCAAATTATAAGATTTTTTTGTCAAGTCGATTCACACATTACGCAAACTAATCCTGGGTAAATTACATTAGCGGTTTTACTTAAAAAGTAACAATTTTATGAAATTTGCCTTGTATCTAGAAATTTTTCATTCCCGGTAACTGTTCAAATTTGAAAATGGGTCCGAGTTTCATGAGCTCTTTTTGTGAAATTTATACATTGTTCAATAACAAAATAGAAATTGATTTTACAGAGAGAAAATGTTATTAAATCGTATCATGTATAGATTTTATGTTATTTCATGATGTTATTTACAATTATTTGATGTTTTATTTGCTGCATTTTCAAATGGCGCCTTTTATGTAAATATCATGTAAATTTCAATTAATGAAAAGAATGGGCACAGTCTTTCTATATCATATTTATATTTTATCCTAATCATTTTCGAAAAATGACTGTTGGTCAATCACCATTATAACGGTCAATCTTTTGAAATATATATAATAGCCAATTCAGCTCAACTTGAGAATGAAAAATTAATGTCATAATGTCACTTTAAGTAGTATGAACAAAACAATTATTGTTCTATAGACAGAAAATGAGATAAGATATCTATTTATGCTTCAAATGAACAAGGTCATCCGAAATTAAAGTAAAGACTTTCGCTTTATTTTAACTGGATATGATAGAGGTACATAAAAATATTTTCCATTATTTTTGTTTATTTTTTTTATATTGTAAGTGTATGTCTATTGATGGTTTTGTTTATTGGTTAATCAATTATAAATTTTAAAGCGGTATAATATCTTCCCGTATTTCTCAATTCCATATAACTGAGGCATTTTTCTTTCTCTTTATTTTTCAAGTTCGACCGTTTTAGACGTAGTTAATGATATAACAGGTTTCCGAAGTGTACTTTAGTGTGTCGGGGGTTGCGTTCTGTGAACGTCGCCTTGTCTTGCTGATCTCTGTTCTCATCTTAGATAATACTTATGGAAACAAAATAAAAATATGTAATCTTATAATTCCTTGATTGCAATGCATATAATGAATAAAACATAATTTATTATGAAAAGTATGTGTTGGATATGTACAGACTCAATTAAACCGAGTCTGCAATTTTCATGTAAATTTTTTGTTTGAGTGCCTCCGAGGGATCACCTTTTTCCCAGATATTTACGTACAAAAGATTTAATAGAATGCCACTAACGTGCCACATTGGAGGTACAGTGATAGCCGCAATATGAACACATCTGCGGATTTTCTTAATTCAAAATTTGACCATTTTCGTGTTTAAATGTTGAATTCTGCTTAAGCCGAGCGGGTGCTAAGGGAGCGTGGACGGTAACTTTTATTATGGGACACATGCATTTTTTTACACTGAATTTCCATATTATCCGCAATATTATCATATCTGTGGATGTTTCAAAACCTATGTAAAATTTTAGTTTTCAAATTAATCTAAGAAACATAAACTACAGTTAAGAAAATGAGTGTGATTTAAATTTACTAGATTGACATGGACAAACAAGAGGCAGGGCAAGACATTAGACCAGATGTACCCAAAACAGCAATACTTGTTGGGGCAGGACAACGTGGACATGGATACTCATATTATGCAGCTACCTTTCCTAAAGAATTGAAGGTTAAATTATTATTTCGATATTTTTATTATGAATAATAATGTACAAATTTCAGCCGTGATGATTATAAAGAATATACGAAATGTGTGTAGTTATTTTTAAGTACTACTCCTCCTAGGATAATTACGAAGGTTTTTCGGTTTGTTATGTGAATTGTACCACACCACAATATTTAACGCTTTGTATGATTTTGTGGATGTTGATACATCGCAATTGTAAAATAGACAGACGCTGACCACTATTGTAAAATTAGTTAGATAATGGGATGAAAATATTTAAGAAATTAGAATTTTGATAAAAAATTGCACAAATCTTGGTCATTCGGTAAAGTAGACTTAGTTTATAGGTCTGAAAAAGTTTCTAATGAGACAGTTTGGACGTGGAGATGTACAGTTCTGACTAGCACAGCGTCCATCAAGGATGCAGCAAAATCCGACCAAAATGTGACTGTAACATGCACCTAAAAAATCAGGAAAATAATTGAAAGTGCCGTCAGGAACATAATATTGTCAAGCTGTTAACATATCGCTGACGCGATTGCGTTTCATTTTGAAATGCATGAAAGATTCTTTCCAGATTGATACCTCATATATTGAAATATGGCCAAAAAGGATACGAGTACAAACTACTCAGCAATTGCTCAATGTTTTTCCAAACTAAATCAGGGCATGCAGTTGCCGAAAGGGCTGTGAGCACAAAAAAGGTTCTTTATTCCCAATGTAATGGTAAAGTCGTACAGTAAGTCGGTGTTAACGAGATGTAATGCTAAAAAATATCAAGAAATATTATCAAAAACGGCACCTTGTGTCAGGATTTATGCATGTTCGTCTTCTTCATGATAATGCTCAATCAAATACATCTGAGCTTGTGAAGCAATTTTCGAAGTTGAAGGTTACCGTCTTGTCACACCTAGGTCGAGCCTGATGAGCTCATTCCACATGTGCTCATTTGAATTAATGTTGGGTGGTCGAGCTGGCCAGTTAAGGCGCTCAATACCCTACCACTGCATGTAGTCATGGACCAGTGAGCCCTGTAAATACGCACATTATCGTCCATTAAAATGATCTGATCGCCCACTGTTTCACTAACCTGGGCGTTAAACTCTCATCTATGTACCTGTCAATATACCTTTTCCTGTTGAATTAATGAAAAATTATAAGAGCCGCGTCACGACAAAACCAACATAGTGGGTTTGCGACCAGCATGGATCCAGACCAGCCTGCGCATCCGCGCAGTCTGATCAGGATCCATGCTGTTCGCTTACCAACTCTATTACAAGTAGAAAAACTGACCGCGAACAGCATGGATCATGACTTAGTCTGTTATAATTGCCTGATGCATTTATGCATTGTTTATCACCCTATATCCAACCTTTCATGAGTCTGAAAAAAGATTGATAGAATATGTTATCCATAGGGTTTGTATGAGTTTGGACGTAACCAAATCGTGTTTCTTTTCAAAGACTTTTGGGAAATATTATTTTTCTTATTTGCCAACATATCTCTTACAGTTTATGCAGCCATCATTCCAGGATTCGCCTATTGATTTTGTTTGCACTATATGTCATAGTAATTGTATATAGTGTTAAGATGTAACAGATCTGAACTTTTTTAAATCATAGATTGTAGGTGTTTGTGAACCAAGAGATTACCACAGAGATTATGAGGCCACACTGCACAGAATTCCACCAGAAAATGTCTTCAAAGGTTTAACTTCTGATTCTTTGAAATCATTTTCTATACCTTAATTACTTTAGTAAACATGAATACATAGCTTATCATCCTTATTGTATCTAATTGGTGCATACTTACAATGAATTACATTCGAAACTTTAGTTTTAAGTTCACTAAGATTTCTGAAACGTTAGTTAAAATAACAGAAATTGGTTAACATAGTTTTGTTACGTTTTATTGCATATAATGCTATCAAGCAAGACCTCGTTATGACCTTTTAAGCACTTTGAGTGACACTATTTCTTTTGTTACATTTTAGATTGGAAAAAGGCAGCTGAACGTGACAAGTTTGCAGACTGTGTTTTTATTTGTACTCCGGACAGACTTCACAAAGTAAGTTTTACCATAATTTTTTTTATAAGTTCAGGTTTGTGTTAAATAAACAATAACATTTTAATATGTACTTCTACATATAAACTTAGATTTAAACTTAAATCAGATTTTACAATTTTGCCGTGTTCGGCTTTCTTTGGGGATTCTGTTTATCACTATCTTTATTTGAATACTTTTACATTTTTTTTACAATTAATACGACGTTTGAAACAAGTGTAAATTTATTTCCATGCAATTTAAAACTTTGTCATGCTTTCAAATACATATATCTTACAGGGACCAGCTATTGCATTTGCAAAGAAAGGCTATCATATTTTACTGGAAAAACCAATGGCTGTAAGTTTTAAATTTCATTATCATTTTCTTTGAAAAATGAATATTGAAACTTTTCAATATAAAAACAAAACATAACATACATATCATTTTTAATTGCATTTAGCATTGACCTATATATTGTTCGTGAAGGAAGCTTTGCAAGAAATATTTTTATTTTAAACCACTACTCATTAAATATCTAAATTATTAATATATAATATCGTACATGTATATTTTAATCAATTAGACAGTAAAAAAAAATTGAAATTTTCAACAGGCCACTGAGGAGGATTGTAAAGAAATTGTGTCTGCAGTGAAAGAAAATAACGTTATCCTATCAGTTTGTCATGTTATGAGGTACATGTCGTGGGTGAAAAAAGTGAAGGAAATAATTGACAGTGGTGAAATTGGTGAAGTTGTCAACATTAATCATACAGAACCTGTAAGTTTGCAATTGCTTGAATCTTTTTAATAACCAGACACTGTGCTTTAAATGAACCCAATGTATCTCTGTTACTAAATTTACAACATGTGTTACAACATCAATCGATAAAATATTTTGCTCAGTGGTGCAGGGTGCTGTTAGAACGTCTTGTGCATCTAAGCTATGGTATAAATCTCACGTGTATGGATTTTCATAAATCATCTTGTTTTGAATTGCAAAACAAACAATCACTGTTAAGTAATATAGAATTATTCTGGCAGTAAATTGATTTGACACTTAAATGAAGAGAAACCATTTATTCTAGACATAAGGATCTTATCCAATAAGACATATTACTGAAATGTCGTTTCACTATGGAAAGGACTATAAAAGAATAAAGGGGACATTGTCACGACCGGCTGAGCAATAAAACGAATTTTGCAATAATTTATTGAACGTACGTTATTTATTAGCGGATAGAATGAATATTCACTTTTCCGATTCTACAGTGTATATAAATATTTGAATAAAAAGACGGACCTCTTTGTGTTTATAAATCTAACTTGAATTTCTGACTAAGTCATTTCTATTTGGAAAATTAATACGTTAGAGGAATTCGGTACAATGTTTTCTTATTGTTGGCAAACTCAATTTCTGTTGCCATGACTTTGACCTTTTTAAGAGCTTTTAGATATGCTACGAAAACATATTGTTGTGTGGTCATACATTTAATATCAAAATGTATTAACGTATATAATTATTGAGTTTATACTTACAAACATATAATAGACATGTGATTTTTTATCTATATGTACACACTTTTATTATCCTATTGTACAACGCCATTGAATATGTATATAGAAATAGGCGTTTAATCAAATAAAACAGTTTCAAGTTTCATGGTTGTGTATGATACGTTTAATTAATTCAGGCTTATTCTCACCAGTGAAATTCAAACAAATACAAATCAGAAGCTGAAATCTGTCTTTAAATCAGTTTATTACAGTGTATATGTAATTGTTGCTTTGTATTCTTATTTATCTTCTCTATCTCTTTAATAATGACATTTTTGCCACATAATGGTTATTGTATTTCATCACAGGTTGGCTATTACCATTTTGCCCATTGTTTTGTGCGTGGTAACTGGCATAAAGAAGAAGATAGCTCATTTTCACTTCTGGTAAAATGTTGCCATGATGTAGACCTAATTTGTTACTGGATGTCCAAGAAGTGTAATAAAGTATCATCATTTGGAAACCTCAGTCATTTTCATAAAACTGATAAGGTATAATAGAAAAGTTTATTTTCCAATACGATGAATAACGTCAAATGCTGGCAATGGTTCAGCAGGGAGCTTCTGGTATACGGGGAGGAAGCAAATTTCATTCAAAAACATTTTTGACTCTGATTATTTGTAAAGAAACCACAAACAACAAATTAGCGAAAATAGGTAGATTAACTACATTAATGAAAAGCACGCTTTGTAACATTTTTTCCGCCAATTGTCTTTCCCAGTAATATACCAGGTACTACATCTGTCGTTTGTCCGTCTGCCCACTTGGCAGATATGCATGATGCAATAGTCAAAGTTTATGTCGAGAAAGTAAGATAAAACAATGAATGGACCTCTTTTTTATTAAAAGATCTTGTGTCATCGAAATAAATTCTTTTGGGTCCATTTACCCATTATTTGCAGAGCTTGCATTTACTATTACCGGCCATAAACAGACTCGATCAAACCGAGCATGAAACATTTTCAAATCTGACGTATTGGACTTTCTTTAAGGACTCTGTTTTCTCTATTTTCTTGTTGTAATAACAATTTTAAAAGTAAAAGCTTTTGTAAATCTTATCCAGTTTTTTTTAACAAAGACTTTGATATCTTTAACAAAAATGCTGTCAGTGATTCTAGGGTTTGTATGAGAATTTAATAATAATAAAAAAACAATATGAAAATCATTGTTCTGCGGTCAAACGAATCATCAGGACCTTTTTTATTTGCTTTTATATTTATTAATACTCAGCTTTACAAGCTTAACTGGGCCTCTTATTTACACAAGTATCGGTGTTATATAATGGCTCGATAAATTACCATTATAGCCAGCAGGATCCACAAGGAGATGCTTAGATTGTCCTGACACTGTTCAAAGTTCTTGTCCATATTCTGCCAAGAAAATATATCTGGATATGGTAGAAAAGGTATTATTATTATAATTATTGTATATATCATTGCCCGTTATTTTGTGTCTGCCATTTGATACTGACCTCAGCATTATATTATTTATGATTGTCCTGTGTCCCTTAAGTTTTTTTCCTTTATTTTAACTACTGATTATGGTAAATTTGTAACTACTGATTCATGGTAAATGTGTAAATTTTCACAATATCGCAATAACTTATAAAAAGTTTTCAAACATTTTATTTTTATCAGAATCAATTTTGGTGAACGTTCATACCCTAAAGGATATTTCTGATTATTTACATTATGTTTTTAGATATGACAATTTATTTCATCAGTATGCCTATTTACCAAAGGGTAAAGATAATTTTCTATCATGTAAACTGTTGGCCACTAGTTATGATGCCTATCACGTGGCGAGCTTTAAATAATTGCTTAAATTATAATTATGTTAATACATGTAAAGACGTATATTGTGACGATATGTGTATTTTACAGGGACACAAAGGTTGGCCAGCAAGTGTATTATGTGATGTGGTAGATATTGAGAATATAACGGATGCTCTCAAAAAAGGACCATATGGTAAATGTGTATATATCAATGATAATGATGTCATGTCACATCAGGTAATTGTTGCTCATACGTAACTGTTGCATCTTTACCAATTGTAGATTACTTTTCAGTGGTAATCTGTCATTGTTTTGGTAAGAGGGAGTGGAGTTTTACGAAAACTATATACAAAATATATACTGCAAATTAGGTATCTTTTAGCAAGTTAGGTCGCTTGGGTTATTTATCGTTCATACATAGTAAATTGTAAAATTGAAAGGAATCATGGCAAAATGTAATGTTACTTTGACTTTCACCTCTTCAACCACTATATACCCTGTAATGGGCATAATGTCACTTTAAGTAGCCCAAAATTGACATAGACGTTAAAATAGACAAAAAGGGAATGACATTGACTTTAAGTACATTTAAGAATTATTCAAATTCCCTAAAAATTACATCATAACTTTGTTATTAATGGATGTATTGAATTCATTCTTGGATATAACACTCTGTAAGTAAATCCATTGGAGAAGGTCGAGCATTTGCCAGACAATGACCTTATGGTAAAATCATTGACTTTTCCTAAACTAGACAATAAACTTATATTGTCATGAATAATTTTTTGACAAACCAACTTTCCACGAAATTTTGATATTGGGCAATTCAGGTATGACATTGGCCATAAAATGGCTTTGACAATAAAGTTCAAATTACTAGTAATTATTTTGCTAATGCTAAAATAACTAAAAAAATTTAAAAAATAGAAAGATTTATGTTTAGACTAACAACCACCTAGGATAAAATGGTTGAGTGGAGTGATTATCAATTGCCCTTGACCTTTAAATGACCGGCCTTTAAAGCAACATTTCCATATCAAAAGTCAAATCTTTATTATAACTGAAATAGTGTTATTCTTATTTTGACAAAACAACACTTTGCACAAAACTTTCATGCGATTAAACTCAAACAGGACCCTGACATTTAATTGTCGTTGACCCTTTTTGCTGGACATTATCATTACACTGTCTGACGTAAAAATGGTTTAAAGTGACATTATGCTCATATTTTCATAGTCAAGTTGAGCTGAACTGACTATATATTTCAAAAGATTGACTGTTAAAATGGTGATTGACCAACAGTTCATATTGGAAAATGTTTAGGATAAAATTTAAATCTGCCTAAAATATAAAAAGACTGCCCCACTCTTTTTATGAAATGAACGTTACAGGTAAATTCTAATGGATATTTACGAAAATTTTGTTTGATTCCATGCGGTGTTTATTGTTAATGTGAAATAAATTTTTATATTAAAAGGAAATATGGCAAAATGAAAACTTATTTTCACATTCACTTGTTCACTCATCTATACTCTTGGATGGTGATAAAAAAGGTTTGACTATTGTTTTATTGGTGGCTCTTGATTTAGAAATAAAATCTGTTTGCGGTTAGCGTTCATCACATTCAGTGATATTTCTAGTTTAGGTATATCTTGTCTACAAGGTTAGGGAACATATTGTTAGTTGGGTAGAAACGATGCATAGTTATAACAAAATTAATGTTCACTGTAAACATTGGAATACATTTTATACAAAACATATAACCCTGGAGGGAATTCTTGCTCAATTATCTCCCTTTTTATTTTTAATTATGGTCATAATTTTCTGGAAAAAAAAACATCACAGGTATTCATTTCAAATCGAAATACTTGGTGAATATCAAGGCAAACATTTCTGTCAAACAGTTTTTCAGAATAATGTCCCATTTTCTATTTTGCTTTTATTGTACTATTAAGTAATTCAGAAATGTACATGTAGAGCGCACTACTCCTCAAACACTTCTTGTTTTCATTCTGCTGTCACAAGTTGCCGATGTTGTGTGTTATTCATACTCTTGTAAGACTTATCAAGCTGAACATCTGATGTAACTGATACTCAATTCTTATGTATTAGGTAGTGAATATGCAGTTTGAGGGCGGAGCTACAGCTACTCTACAAATGGTGGCTTTCACAAGCAAAATAAGTGAACGTGAAGTTAAAATATATGGCACCAAGGTATAAATAGTTATGGTATATCTTTTTTATCTATCTACCCTCCATCTCCAACTTTGATCATCCTTAGATTTATACATAATTTATTTTAGGTTGATATTGTATAAAGCTATGTTTTGACAATATCTGGAACACGTTCATGGAACCAATCAATAATGAGCAATGAGTTTAAGGGTTCTTGCTCAAGTAAACAACCATTTGATCCTGAGGTTTGAACCCACGCGGCTTTCAACTGCTCGGTTGTCTTAGTTGTACACAATTATTCTAAATCTCTTGAACGGATGACTAACGTACCGAAATTTTAAGCTGAAAAAAGTATTCCATACATTGATTTTTTGCTAATTAAATCAATTATATAAAATAACCTCAAGAAGAATATTGTACAAGGTTCGTGGTACTTTTTATTGGTTGAAATAAATGTAATATGGCCATCTGTCCAACTCACAATTAGGCATTAATAAAACTAAAACCCGTTCTCCTTTTAAATAATATGCATTTACACGTCATCTCTTCATCCTGTTCAAGTACCAATAAAATGTTCTAACATTGACATATTTGTGTAACATGTTTAATGCTTTACTGTGTGATCTTTGGTCTGATATTTGTAGGGAGAAATTACAGTACGCCATGGAGCTTTACCTCCTGTAAGAGTCTTCAATTTTCTGACACAAAAATCAGGTTGTCTTTTCCTTCTATAAAACAATCTACACTTCTTTTACATTCGAAAATATACAATTACAGTATACATGGTTTACAAGTTATCCTCACTGTTTTTGAGAATATACTTTACTTAAACAGAAGCTGTATTATCTACGGGTTACATAATTTTAATGTTTGGTATTATTTCTCTGGCAATGCAGGCTAGTACCGACCCATTAGCACAAATCTGCATGGAAACATTTAAACAAAACAAAAAAAACATTACATGAAAATTGCAAAGTCAGTTTGACGAGTCTGTACATGAGAGATAATGAAAAAGTGAAACATCCAATCGGTTTGGAGTTCAAAAGAAGTTGGTGTAGATAAAGAGTTTACATCATATTTGTACAAGTCATATAAGGCATTGAACAGAGTTCAGGAAGGGCCCTGGTGGATAATTATTACAAGGAATTGCCGTTAGACAATCTTACATCAAAAGTAGAGTGACATTCTTACAAAGAAATATTTATTTCATAATGTGTGTAGTAACTGAGTAAACGCACTAAGATGCAACACTAATATAAAGTTATTTTGATTTAAAACAAAAACTTTTTGTTTTGTTTTAGTGAGCCATTTCGCGCAAGAGAGCATGATAGTGTCACCTTTAGGAGGCAATGATGGAGCTGACTACAACACTATTAAAGCATTTCTCAAAGCACTACGTGTAAATATTGATAGGATGTGATTCTTACTAAATGTTTTGTTTGTTTTTAAGGTGTAAATACAGTGTTCAATGTTGTAGCTGTCATTCAGGCTGTTACTTAGTTTGAGTTGTTTATACAATAAGTAAACAGCCACGCTAGTCTGCACATGGATGCATTCTTACCAGAAAGTCAACGCACAGCAAGTCAACAAAAACAAAATAAACAATGAAGGGGTTTAATTTTTTCCATACTAAAAAAAATTCATAAACGTTATTTAGAGGATGAGATATGATTAAGACAAACTGCATTAATGAATGGTCGTGACATTTCAATATAATTATAAAAAAGCAAAGTCTGACTATGTCCGACTCGGCCTGATTTGTTAATTGATCATTCTTTTTGACACCATATCTGTGATATGCAGGTGGTAGATGGCTATTACCACAACTGTCCATGAACAGGCTCAAAAATACCGAGCATGCAACATTTTCAATATTGTTGTGTTTGGGCTTTCTTTGGGTATTCTGTATTTCTCTATATCATTACCTCTGATACCCTTTCCAAATACCATTTTCTCTAGCATCGGCATAAAAAGCGAACTCACTTCAAGTATGAACAGCATGTAAAAGAATACATGTGCTCGAACGAAAATACAAGGGTCTTAATCGAAGTGAAATGGAATTTTTCAATGGGAATCAGAGGTTATGAATTCTGCAGAGCACAGATAAAACCACAAACGACAAATGTAAAAGGCATGCAACATTTCCTAAGGGTGCTTTAACAGTATCCAAGACGGAACACTGGAACCCCCGAACAGAAAATAGATCAAATTGAAGAAACTGGGAAAAAAACACAAACACAATAATTATGTCATGCTGAACGATCTTCAGGTATCTGAAATATAAAATCATTGATTGTATGCACGGGGCGACTTTTTACTGCCTCCACACGGCACAAAATAAAACAAAGATGTGGCAATATAATTCAGGAAACAGTATCCTTTATGAACGCTAAAAATGTTGCAAGCTCGGTTTGGTTGAGCCTGTTCAATGACGGTATATTTTAGTAATTGCAACATCTGTTTACGCTTCTTGCACTGGCTTCACTAGAAATTAACATTTTACATGAATATAGCGAAATTTTGAATTAAGAAACATTTGCAAACAGTACAATTAATGATTGATATGTACATTTAAACATTATACATTATAAACAATCTCCTGTGTATTTTTTTGTTCTATCATAGAATGAAGACCAAACTGAGATCGAGACTGGGCCAGATGAAACTCTTGCTAGTCATCTGCTATGCTTTGCTGCAGAAAGGGCGAGAATAGAGAACAGAGTTCTTAATCGAAATAGCAAAGGAGAATTTGAATAGAAAGACGTTATCTACAGTAATATTTTGAAACTTGTTCAAGTATAACCAGTTGCAATGTACCTGCTTATGTTATTTAACATAAATAGGATAATAATTATGGAAACTGTAAAGATGCCCATCATTGCGAAATTTAAAATGTTGCAGGCTCGGTTTGATTGAGCATGTTAATTGAAGGGTAAAAATGCAATCTTCTGTCAACGCCCACTAGCACCGGCTCAACATTAATTTTATATTAGAAAATGATTAATAAAGAATGAATGTACATGGTTCTTTCTTGTTTTTAATGTTTGGCAAATGCGGTGAATATTAAAGTGCACAGACTTAATAGTAAAGATATTTTGTGGTACATGTATTTGCTCAATGTTTTAAACTACATAACTATTGTGTCAATGAGTGACCAATGTGTTTTTCACTTTTATAAATAAGAATAAAACTTGAGGATTACTGGTTTGTATATTTAATTTGTTGTGGACCGTTTATGTAGCATGATTTACAATACAACATCTCAACTAAACCCTTAAAGCATAAATAAGTAACAGTCCATACTATCATGAAATATATAGTATTAATCATACATTACACTTTCTCAGATATCATCAATCCATTCTATCAACAGATATGCCTATAGAAATAGTCCATGAATTTAAACTTTCCTAAATAAAACATGTATATTTGAATGCATTAAGATTATTGTACCTACATCTAGTGACCACTTTACCATATACATTTTCTTATAAAAACAATATACGATATATGCTTAACTTAAAATATAGCTCTAAAATATATAAACAATGGCATATAAATATAATCTAACAAACCAATTTTGTAAATAGCTCTGTCACTCACACTGTGATATAAACTGTCTGTACCCTTACTGTAAATTACAAACATCAGCGTTAAAAAAATAGAAATCGCGACTTCTAGGAATTACTGGCAGATAAAAAAGTATGCTGCAATCTTGAATTCTAACTCGTGAACTATACAAATTTATCTAAACTTTTAATATATTCACAACTGATTTAATTGAAAGTAAGTCTTAAGTTAGTTGATATCGAAACTTATAATAATATGCATATAGAGGTGCATGGTTTCTAACTTTAATTATCTTGGCACAGTTTTTAATTATACCGGAAATTTTAACCTAATCCAGAAAACATTGACTGGTAAAGGCTTAAAGGCATTAAATACACTGTATGCTTATACCAAAGGCATGTCATTAAAGCCAAAACACCCTTTGTCAATTATTTGATGCATTTGTTGGTTCCGTGTTAAATTATGCGAGCGAGATATGGGGTTTTAGCAAAAGCAAAGAAATTGAGAGAATTCATTTAAAATTATGTAAGTCAATACTCTATGTTAAACAAAGTACTAGCAATATGGTTATTTATGGAGAGCTATGCAGATATCCGCTGTTCATTAACAGATATGTCAGGATTGTAAAATACTGGCTAAAAATTGTAAACAGTGAAAATATTATACATGTAGTTAAAAAGATGTATGAAATAATGTAAAATGATTGTGAAAGAGGCATGGTAAATTGGGTATCTAAAGTAAAATCTTTGTTAGAAAATAATGGATTTTTTTATATGTACGTATGGAACAATCCTGATATTATTTATAATAAAACGTTTCCTTTGTTATTCAAACAAAGACTAACGGACCAATTTGCTCAGGTATGGACTACCACATTGTCTGTTAGTCCAAGTTTATATACTTATAAATTATTTAAAAACTCTTTTAAATTTGAATATTATTTAGATAACATTCCGCTTAAACTTCGTTTTCCATTGACTAAGTTAAGGCTATCTTCATACCAACTACGAATCGAAACAGGTCACTATGGTAATAATAGAACTGAACGTAACCAAAGACATTGTACGATTTGTAACAGTGGTGACCTGGAAGATGAATATCATTTTATTTGTATCTGTTCAGCATATAATCAGATTCCAAACGTTATATTAACAAATTTTAGTTCTACAGACCAAGTGTTGTTAAATTTATAGAACTTATGCAATCTGTAAACTATTCTCTAGTAATAAAACTATGTAAATTATACTAGAAACATTTATAATAAGACAAAACATTGTAAACAACTATACTTAGAAGTAATTAAGGCTACTTCCTGTAATCATTTACATGTGTATCAATTTTATATAATAATTTCTACGTTATTTGGTATTGTACAATAAATATCTGATACTGTGGTGTAAATGTATTGTAAAAATGTCTGTGTTAAATAATTATCATATGTTCATGCGCACACATATTTTTGTAATTGTACATAGTTCATCCTCTTGTATATGCTCATTATGCTTACTTGTTTTCAGTGAGTTTAATCATTCATGTCTTTTTTGTATTTGTCATGTGTAATATGTATATATGTTAATTGTATCATGTAACAAGAAACATAATTTGTTTACGTTACTTAATAAAGAATCTTGAATCTTATAAAACAAATGAATAAAACATACCGATTCATTAATCGTTATTTATTATAAAATTTTATGTACATAGGTCTTCTTCGTATCAAAATGACCACATCTGATCACACAAAGAAAGGCGAAAAAGGACCAGGGAAACAGATTGGTAGCTGGTCAAAGGGACATAATTATACGAGTTGGTAGAGTAGTCTTTCTTAGAAAATAACAAAAAGAAACTTTAAAATATCACTTGGTAACAATTGTACTGTTCTTCCGTGTTCTATAATAGAAGTAATTCGCGTGATGCGGTATAGTTAATTTTAGTTTACTAATTGGTGTACAGATCCTATAATAATATTACCATTTTTACAGAGAAAATATTCATGTGATTCCTTACAGTTTAACCGTTTCTAAAATAATTTTAATATACGTACATAGTTTTTTTTTTGACTGCGTATCAAGTAGCTCTTTAAATTTAAGAGGATTACATCTTCTTAAATAATATAAAGGTTTAAAGTATAATTTTCTAGTCTGATTAAAAAATGGGACAGGTCAATAAATAGTGAAACTCATTTCCTATTTCTCGGGTACTATTCTCATTTAAACACAGTTGACATATTCTTTCATTAAAGTCTATATTTTGCCATCTTTCAGTTTCACATGGGAAGTAATGATTGCCGCATCTAAATTTAATGAAAGACCGCCAGTCAGACTTTTTTTAAATTAAGTAAATAGCCTTCAAGGTTAATTGACTCTTTGAAAATTGAATAATTTAGTCCTTTAGTTGAGACTTGCATAGAGGCATGCCAGTTTTGATAATGCTGGTCTAAGAATATTTGTTTAACTGTTTTTCCATATGTTTACTTTGGAGGTTATCTTAATTATTCCAAATATCATTTCGCCCTATTTCATTAACCCTTTCCCCCATGAGCATATTGTGAAAAATGGCCGTTTTCACTGAAAAGCCTCCTGTTACAAGTTCAAACTGCTATGAAACTATGAAAAATGCTTCAATACTAATCAAACTTGGCACAAATGTTGACTGGACCATTGCCTTTGTAACGACATGCTCAGTCTCAAATTTCCTGTTACCATGGCAACGAGGGGACATCTCAAAATTGCCAAAAATTACTATTTTGCCTCGATTTTTTCCATCAAAATTTATTTCAAAGGGCTGCAACTTCTCAAGGGATTGAGATAGAGTCAAAGGCTTTTCAGCGTTGGTTAAACATTACATTAGGATCGACCTGGGGTCATTTTTAGCCTCTCACAAGTCCAAAATTTTCTTGGCGATGAGGGGGACTCCGCCCCCTTCAAACCCCCCCCCCCCCCTAACAGAAGGGGGCACATCCTCCTTCTGGCAACCCCCTGATGTATCTTTTGGATGGGGGGCGGCGCCGAAAAAGTGCTCAATTTTTTTAGCAACATTTCTCAAACGAAAACTTATGTTTGGGGCCCAAATAGGACATTTTTTCACTATTTGAGGCCCAAAAAAGGGGGGGTTGAAAGTGCGTTGTTTCGCGTATATATGTGGTAAAGGGTTAACAAAAAATGATGAAAAACTTTGGAATCACCTAAAAACTAGTTTTTTCCATGTTAACATGTGGTCTTTCACCTAATTTTGGTGAAAAATTGTTGTTTTGTTATATTTATATTTTTTTTAGTTAACCCTTTCCCCCATGAGCATATTGTGAAAAATGGCCGTTTTCACTGAAAAGCCTCCTGTTACAAGTTCAAACTGCTATGAAACTATGAAAAATGCTTCAATACTAATCAAACTTGGCACAAATGTTGACTGGACCATTGCCTTTGTAACGACATGCTCAGTCTCAAATTTCCTGTTACCATGGCAACGAGGGGACATCTCAAAATTGCCAAAAATTACTATTTTGCCTCGATTTTTTCCATCAAAATTTATTTCAAGGGCTGCAACTTCTCAAGGGATTGAGATAGAGTCAAAGGCTTTTCAGCGTTGGTTAAACGTTACATTATGATCGACCTGGGGTCATTTTTAGCCTCTCACAAGTCCAAAATTTTCTTGGCGATGAGGGGGACTCCGCCCCCCTTCAACCCCCCCCCCTAACAGAAGGGGGCACATCCCCCTTCTGGCAACCCCCTGATGTATCTTTTGGATGGGGGGCGGCGCCGAAAAAGTGCTCAATTTTTTTAGCAACATTTCTCAAACGAAAACTTATGTTTTGGGCCCAAATAGGACATTTTTTCACTATTTGAGGCCCAAAAAAGGGGGGGTTGAAAGTGCGTTGTTTCGCGTATAAAAGTGGTAAAGGGTTAACAAAAAATGATGAAAAACTTTGGAATCACCTAAAAACTAGTTTTTCCATGTTAACATGTGGTCTTTCACCTAATTTTGGTGAAAAATTGTTGTTTTGTTATATTTATATTTTTTTTAGTTAACCCTTTCCCCCGTGAGCATATTGTGAAAAATGGCCGTTTTCACTGAAAAGCCTCCTGTTACAAGTTCAAACTGCTATGAAACTATGAAAAATGCTTCAATACTAATCAAACTTGGCACAAATGTTGACTGGACCATTGCCTTTGTAACGACATGCTCAGTCTCAAATTTCCTGTTACCATGGCAACGAGGGGACATCTCAAAATTGCCAAAAATTACTATTTTGCCTCGATTTTTTCCATCAAAATTTATTTCAAAGGGCTGCAACTTCTCAAGGGATTGAGATAGAGTCAAAGGCTTTTCAGCGTTGGTTAAACGTTACATTATGATCGACCTGGGGTCATTTTTAGCCTCTCACAAGTCCAAAATTTTCTTGGCGATGAGGGGGACTCCGCCCCCCTTCAACCCCCCCCCTAACAGAAGGGGGCACATCCCCCTTCTGGCAACCCCCTGATGTATCTTTTGGATGGGGGGGCGGCGCCGAAAAAGTGCTCAATTTTTTTAGCAACATTTCTCAAACGAAAACTTATGTTTGGGGCCCAAATAGGACATTTTTTCACTATTTGAGGCCCAAAAAAGGGGGGTCGAAAGTGCGTTGTTTCGCGTATATATGTGGTAAAGGGTTAAAAATGTTTTTATTGCTTTTATCCATTTTGATTCAAAATTTGCCATTTCAAGAATATATTTATTTTTTTGTGACATCTGCACGATTTAATATTTTAGTACAATTTTTTTATTAGTCGGAAGAACTTGCCATTGATATTATATTCAAGAACTTTTTGCCAAAGTCTTACACGCCATAAAGAATCAAACACCTGTGCAAAATCAATGAAGATAAAATATATTTTCTTTTTGTGATATCTCAGTACTTCAATAAGAGAAGTGACGGTGCTGTAACTGAACTGTATGTATTAAAATGAGCTGATTTAATGAACTTACACAATGCACTCAATTTGAATAGGCGTCGGTTATAGGTTATATACAGAGTTTTAAGAAACTAATTTTCTCGCTTCACTTCGTTCGAAAATTAATGTCTTTAAACTCTGTATATAACCTATAACTTATACTTATATACTGCATTAGAAAAAAAGCTTTTGCAAAAAAAAAGAGAAAATATGCAACAAATATTACATCTGGCCACGGTTTTAATTTTAAGCCGAGGTATGGGAAAAACTTATTTTGAAGTAAATAATATATTGCGTTTATCAAGAAAATATCTAATGTTCATATAATCATAAATCTTACAACAAAGTTACGCAAGGGCAATTTTCTCATTTAATTTTGACAATTTTATACACAAATGCATTACATGTAAGTGATTTTGCACATAAAAACCCAGAAAATTTGTAAATGTTACTGTTTCATTGATTCGTAGAATTTATTTCATTTGTGTGTTTAAAATTTCTTAATGTTTGATATTTGCTGATTATTTATTACTTAAAGATTAAATGTGTAGTTTTTTGTGTAACTTTTATGTAAACTGTATGTCTTGACCATATTTAGTATAGTGTAAATGGTCAAAGGCATTTATATTGCCGATTTGCCAATTAAAGAAATGAAATGAAATGATATAATTTTACTTTTATATGTTCCGCTACATCAATTTTAACTATCTTTGAATTTGTAAACTGAAATGATATTTTGTCAGTAACATCTTCCTTGAAGTCAGCGAGAAATATAACAAGATCTTTGCCAAACGTTTTATTCATCATTAATGAGTGAATACAGTTATTTGTTACTTTTTTTAAATATCATAAAACATTGAACTATTCAATAAAAGCATTAAAATTTTATACAGAACAGAACATATATTTTATTTTGAATTAAGCATATACAGCTCATATTCATATACAACAAATATATACATGCATGAATATGAAAAATGGTAAACGCATATCAATAAATGAAATAAACTTATTAAATTTTATATATACCAAATTAATATAAGATAAATTCATTAGTCACATAAGTGGCATGACAGTATAAGATTCTGAATGACCGTGTCACGTGAATCAGCGGGCGGAGCAATCTCTTCTCCGGCGTTATGTCAATTGTGTAAATATATTTATGTTCTATATTTTAATTTACATTCAAAACATATATATTTGTATGGTATTTAAAAATATTTTAGGTGTAAAAATAAACATTTATATTCTATAAAAGCGAAAAATATCTCTTCAATATAACGTCATGGATTATGTACGCAAGCGTCCTGGTGACAATTTATAATATTCTAAATCAAAGTGCTGCAGCACTGAATGCGACGGACATGCAACCGGAGAGACATTAAGGCTTTTTTTTTAGAAAAAACAAAACAAAAACAAAACACAAAATATATAACAGAGAAAATTTGTTCTATACAAGTTCGAGATTTGTAGAGCAATATATTTTGTGTCCCAAACTGATATAATTCAGATTTTTAACTTTCAAGCACTTAAATACAGAATGAAATTTATGCCTGAAAACTCTGGTCAAACTTGTAAATCAGTGTCCTTATCGATTTATTCCAAGAAATGATATGTAAATAGAAAAAAATACTGTCAACGAAATATTTCTAAAATAAAACCATGCAAATAAACTTCAAGCATAATAAATTATACATTTGAGAATGTTATTTAGAATTGCTTCGTGTTATATCATAGTGGGCATATAGACAATAAATTATAAGTCATTTGTATTTTTATTTCTCTTGGATATGTCTCATTAAAAATGTATTTGGTAAAAATCATCAGCAATTTATTTAATAGTGTATTTTTTTAGATTTTTTTTATTTACAAGGTAAAGATGTAGAGGCCAGAGCACATCGTTTTTATTTTAATTTAAATGTCACTTAAGCACTACAGTGTTTAGTTGTCCTTTTCAATTTCACACTTAATTCCATTTTCAACTTGTTTGCTTCTTACAATTGTATAGAATTTCTAAAAGTATTGCATGAAATCCGCTGGTTTATTACATGTATAATGTGTACTCCCTAATCGCCTGTCCAAAAATCAGCACAGTGAAGCAGAATCTATTTTTAGAATAGCGAAGGTTAACTCATATCGTGACCTAGAAAAATATGTAAACAAACCACAAGAATCGGAAGTAGAACTGATATTACAACTTCCTTACCATGAAAGACTATACATGGTGGTAAAGTGTTGAAAAACTCTCTTCTTACATGCATTTTCAAAAATAGATAATTATACTATCTAATTTATTAATAACTGCTGAATATTCAGCTAAACCCGCGGTATGAGTCACGAAAATAGTTCTTCTTTTATTAATGCGCAAGTTATCCTACAGTCACGAAAAACTTTTGATTTATTAATAATAATGTTTTGTATAATGTAGAAATAGTTATTTCCTACTAATAATGTCTTGGAACTCAGAGCTTACACCTTTATTGTAGTATAATTTGCTGTCTTACTTTTTCGACAGCAGTAAATCATTTCGGCAGTAATTTGCATATTTCGCAATAATACTACGGGACTACAACGTTTTTATCAATAATATGCGTTCATATTTTAACTTGGATAACTTAATTTGAAATTGAAAAGGCTAAATATGGAAGATTTTAAGATATCCCGACAAAGTATGGGAGTTTTGAAGGATCAAATTCATGTACTATTTCTTGGGCTGTTAATCGGTTTAGGACACTTTGCGCGATTGTAGCCGACGAAATCCCATGTGTAGATGACTTAGCTCTGAACGCGCCTGAGGGCGCGTCCGTCGCAAAAATGAAAATGCTCATGTCCATATCGTTGTTATGTAAATGTTTATCCCTTTGTAGCTTTATATACGGAGGAGCATTAGTACCAGGTGTATGTTTTATATTACCTCGAAATTTCGAATTATTAACTCGAAATTTCGAGTTACTTACTCGAGATTTCGACTTACTTATCTCGAAATTTGGACTTACTAACTCGAAAGTTCGACTTACTAACTCAAAATTTCGACTTACTTATCTCGAAATTTCGATTGACTTACTCGAAATTTCGAGTTACATGCTCGAAATTTCGAGATACTTAACTCGAAATTTCGAGTAACATACCCGAAATTTCGACTTATTAACTCGAAATTTCGAGATAAGTAACTCGAGTTAGTAAGTCGAAATTTCGAGTTAAGTAACTCGGAATTTCGAGATAATTAAGTCGAAATTTCGAGTAAGTAACTCGAAATTTCGAGTTAATAAAAAACATACACCTAGCACTTATGTCTTCCGTTCGATGTTGGGCTGGCACTTATGCTCTTCCGTATTTATAGTTTTTTTGTTGTTGTTTTTGATTTTTTTGTTGATGTTTATCTTTGTACTGTATAGAAATTCCTGAGGTCACAATTGAGAATGTACAAACAAAACAAGCATATCTCGTTTAGGATGTGTAGATAATGATAGCCCGGCCACCTGAATGAATTAATTAGGTCATCTGAGTTCATAGACTATCTTTTCATTACAGAAATCGGTAAGTCAAGTCTTTTCTTTCCTAGTTCATAATTAATAAGATTCTATGTATGATAGATAAAATATGATTTAATCATGAATACGATGTTTTAACCGCTGGTTAAACTAATAAGTTTACTTAATTAAAGTTAAACTTTTAAGTTTAATTGCTATCAAGATAGCAATTCTTACCTATTTTCATTTTACTGATCCCACCCCCTCCCCCTTCCAAATTCAAATTCAGAGAATTAAGATATGCATGTACAATGTTATATTAAATAACCGTACATCCTGTTAAGACTTAATATTTAGTGGCCTCATGCCTATGTGCAAATATTATGTTTGTACTATAACACCGACCCGCCAGCTGTCAAAAATGACGCTTCCGTCAACATTGAGTAAAACATTAAAAATAGACATGTTTCAGTAAATGTCATTGTAAGATAAAAGTGTAGTTATACTTGCATACAAATAAAGTTGTGTTAAATAGGTCAATAATTATCCAGTAATCAATAGAAGATATAGAAACCGGATATTTATCGCTTGGCCAGTCAGTTTTTCTACTGTTTCTAATAGAGGAAAAATTATTTTTACACCAATGGTAAGTTTTAGTGTTATTTTAGGATTATATTTTACTCAGTTTTATATTAAAGCAACGCATTCTTTCATGCTCATGGACCAATTTATGTCAGGAACTATAAACATACATGAATGTGTACATTTAATTTTGTCACGGTTCAGAACTGTTCATTAATTAGGGGAGAAGATGTGTAAGCGGCCGGATAGCTCAGTCGCTAGAGCTGCTGAACGGTATTCCAATGGTCCCTGGTTCGAGTCCCAGTCAGGCTGCACATTTTTCTCACCCTGTGACATTTGGCGCCCAACGTGGGGCCGTGACTGATATAGCTCAGAGTTTAATTTACATTGCTCTGTAACTCTGTGAAATTCGAGGACGAATTTCACTATAGCAGGGGAGTATCTCACGGTTCAGAACTGTTCATTAATTAGGGGAGAAGATGTGTAAGCAGCAGGATAGCTCAGTCGGTAGAGTTGCGGAACGATATTCTGAGGGTCCCGGGTTCAAATCCCGTTAAGGCTGTACATTTTACTCACCCTGTGACAATTTTATTGTACATGCATGTATAGTCCTGGTTCAATTCCAATAGAAAAGAACAAGTTCAAGTTTAATGTTACTGTCAAATTGTCTAAAATTTTGATGAGTTTAATAAGATGGTGTTTTGCTGTACAACTGCTTCTCCTCAGTGTGATATTCTTTATTCTAACATGACCTGCATTTTTCCCCATTGAACATAGAAGAATGGAAAGTATGTGTTATTATGCAATAAAATCTCAGTTTGACATTCTATATTAAGACATTTGACGTAATCATTATACACATGACATAACCACAAAAAATGTGACATGCTGAAAATAAGTATGGAAACAAATCAGGCGCAATATAGGTTAATATCATTAACGGCAGCATATATTTGTTGATGTAACGTGTTAGAATCTAATTCTAATACTCCACGTGATTTTGTCACTATAGACAAAGAAGGAAAAAAAACGGTGTAAAACTGCTAATAAAGACTGGTTAGGGACTACTTGTATATGTGGCTGTTATGTTTTCACCCTTGATTATATAGTTTACAAGGCCTTTTAAAGCAACAATAAAAAGCATTATTATTTATATTTTCAGTTCTTATATTAATGTTTTCTTTTCATACAATACTGAAATGATATCTCACATACATTTACTCATATCAGTTGATAAATAATTTAACAAAACGGTGCCAGTCCGTTTTTTTCTTATTAAATCTTTTGTTTAATAATTTCTATATCTTCGCAGCAGTAGGGTGCGAAATCAAACAGCGTTATACGAAAATCAGAACCGGAAGATATTTCCGATTGAAAAAATAACTTTAGTGATCTTCCTTATTTAATCATGTTAGAATCGAAATAACATCGGTCTGAAAGGTGTATATTGGCTATTTAACTCCGGTTTTGTCGTTTTGATGCGAAAAATTAATACATCCAAATCGGTGATTTTATATCACTCAGGCTACAATAGAATTGCTCGCATCCAAACTCCAAACAGTGATGTTATTGAGCGATAAAATCACTGTTTGGGATATATTATTTCTTAAATAATAATTGTCTAGATAATTGTCAACTTTAAAGTGTCACACTGAATGTGTCACTGAATGAGCTTAGTAAAACAAACCTTCAAAATTTAGACTTAACAAAAATATACTAACATTTAAGAAATGTATACAACAATGGTTAAAGTTTGAATATATCATGAAGAATTAATGATGAAACTTGTCTGTATTTTTATCACAAAATTCCATCCTATGATTTATTTAGTAAGAAATTTTGTCTGCTTATTTTGCAGATAATTCTTATACATCAGACCAGGTTAATTTGTAGAGCTAACATTTTTTTACTCAATAACTTATAAAATAACTTTTTAAAGTCTATATAAAATTCTCAAAAAACCTGGATTGATGCTGCTTTAAATGTTTTTGTTTTTTTCAGTATTCAGATGAATGTTTTGTTGATTGAAATGATATTCTTCTTTGATTAAAAAGGGAGGCAAACAAAGTAAAGCAAATACCTACAGTGCACAAAGTGAACCAGATCAACCTACAAAACACAGGAAGGACATGGATAAACAAGAAGAGGAACAAGAAATTGGATCTGGAACGCCCAAAACAGCAATAATTGTTGGGGCAGGACAACGTGGACATGGATACCCTTATTATGCTGTTGTGTTTCCTAAACAATTAAAGGTATATAATAGGAACTCTTAAAAGTAATAAATTTATGAATAATAAATCCATATTTCAGCCTTCATGATAAAGAAAAGAAGTAGTTAATTAACAGCATTTGGATATGTTTATATTCTGTTATTTAGATGCATTGTAAGAAAACAACAACAAATAAACAAAAACAAAATCCAGTGGTTGCTTAAGAAAAAAAATGTTAAGGTGGCAGGTATCCAGATGAAAATTTGAATGATCTAAGCAAAATGTGACATAATTTACAAATTTTGTCACAAAGCAAATCTAGAGGCATAAATTTTATTGAAAAAATTTAATTTGTCAGATACAAATTAGGTGGATCTTCATAGCAAATAATTAATGTTTTTTTAACAATTTTACTGATAGGTCAAAGCAATACTTGTTATGTTTATTTATAGGAATAATGTATACATGTATTATATTAAATATTGTCATACAGATAAGCAATGTTAAATGTCATATTCTAAATTGACTAAAAACTCTCTGTAGCCATAAGTACTCATTTAGTTTAAGCTTTGAAATACATTGCACAACTAAAATAATATGTTTGAATTTCATATAAGGGACATTGGGGGTTGGGGGGTTCTTCGTTTTGCAGCTATAAATTTAAAGATAGCTTTTATATTTTACGTATTGCATCTTGTCTTAGTAAGTGTAAATGTTGCTTAACATGTAAACTGTATTGTTTATATTATAGATTGTTGGTGTTTGTGAACCAAGAGATTACCACAGAGATTATGAGGCCGAACTGCACAAAATTCCACCAGAAAATGTCTTCAAAGGTTTGTCATTTTTGATTCTCCGTCTTAAATTTGAACAAAGAAAAAGAAAAAGAATAAATTGATAATCATTAAAGTGATAATAAATGTTAGACAATGTTTAGAGTTAGTGTTACATTGGGTAAGGCCGGGAAAACAACACCAGGTTATACCACAGTTTACAATGTGAGACTATGTCATGTGACAAATGATATACAATGTACATTACAAATGTATTTGGAGGGCGTGAGACCTCAAAATTATAATAGGCATGCTGATTACATGCACATGCCATAAATAGACAAATAATTTTGCCAGATTTTATGTCATAAGAATCAATACTTTGTCAATTTAGGTACTTAGGTACAAGTTTTATGAATATGCATTCTAATAATTACAGATAGCACATTATAGCTTTACAGATTTCATCATATTTATGTACAATTATTTGCATATTTAATATTATTAATATACAAAAAAACTCAGATAAATATTTACAGGCACTCATTCTTGAATATTTAACAGTTTCTGTGAATGTTTGTTTGTTATATTTTAGATTGGAAGGAGGCAGTTGAACGTGACAAGTTTGCAGACAGTGTGATTATTTGTACTCCAGACAGACTTCACAAAGTAAGATTTTGACCTTGATATTCTTATATTATTTTTAATTGCATACATATAGAAATTAAATGGTTTCCATTTGGTTAAAAAATGATCAGAACTGGAAACCTAAAAGAATTCCAAAAATGGCAAAATTGAAAATGTCCAACTCTGGTTTGATATACAAAACACAAATGTGTTTCTAGAGAATGTGTCTCTTTTTAAAACACATACTAAATGTGTTTTTGTTGTTTGTTATAAAACTTACAAAATTTGAATTATTACATTTTGTTTGAAATATTCAAAAATTTAAAAAAAAACATGCACAATGTGGGTAATTGTCATATGATTCACACAATGTGAGTAATTACTGTTTAGTTTGTTTGAAATATGTATAATGCCCTTTGATTAAAAAACATACACAACTTAAATAATTGTCATTTTATTTTACATACTCCACAAAAATCATGTTACAGGCTCTTTGATATATGATATAAAATTTATTCATATATGTTATATTCTATTCAGGAACCAGCTATTGCCTTTGCCAAGAAGGGTTATCATATTCTACTTGAAAAACCTATGGCTGTAAGTCTATGTTTGATTTGTATTTATGATCATATGAATCATTGGCATTGCACCAGAGTTATTGCACAGCCTTACGGTCATTACAAAGTATACTTTATACACTAGAAATTGAAGGGCAATTTCATTTGTTGGGTAGTATGTCACAGTATAGTACTATTCACTAATTAGGACAGAAAATGCACATAAGTGACCATGTAGGTCAGTCAGTAGATCTGTAAAACAGTACCAAGTGGTCCTGGGTTCAACTCCTGGTCAGGTTGCGTATTTTTATCACCCTGTGACTCTTTAATGGTCATTTGGGAAGTTATTAATTAATTAAGGAACATTTACATTACATATTAAAAAATGAAATTTGATATCAATAAGTATTGTTATTTTTAACAGAAATATAGCAGTTTCATTAAAGTAAATTAATTGAATTCTATTACAGGTTACTGAGGAAGATTGTAGGGAAATCGTGTCTGCAGTGAAAGAAAATAACGTTATCTTATCTGTGTGCCATGTAATGAGGTACATTCCATGGGTGAAAAAAGTGAAAGAAATAATTGATAGTGGTGAGATTGGTGAAGTTGTCAACATTAGTCATACAGAACCTGTAAGTCTTTCTTTGCTGTATTAATTTAAAAAAAAATAGTTTTAGAAATAGCTACTAATGAATGTTGATTGAAATCACAGGTCATGTGAGGAAGCTATCCAGCTAGCTAAAGGAACATTGATGGTTCTACCCAGGTGCTTGTTCATGCATGAAATTTAATAATAATGTACAACAAGTTGAAGGCCTTTGGCTATGTTTTTAGAATTTTTTTCAGAAGTATTTCCCTACACTAACTGCAAATTAATTTATCATAAAGTATGTTGGAAAATTGAAAGCACACTTTTGAAAGTGTGTTATTTTTAAGATTTTGCTGAATTCTTGTAAATAATATACCAACTTTTATTAGGAGCGTGTATTAATTTGTAGAAAAAATATTAAGAAATCACAATATTTATTGCATTAGTCCTTTCTATAACATTACATTATGTGTTTATAAGTATAATTGAAATATCACCTTATCAACTTTGATGAAATATAGGTAGGTTTTTGGCATTTTGCACATTCTTACGTGAGAGGAAATTGGCACAAGGAGGCAGATAGTTCTTTCTCACTACTGGCAAAGTGTTGCCATGACATTGACCTACTTACATACTGGATGAGGGGGAAACCATGCCAACGAGTTTCCTCATTTGGAAACCTCAGTCATTTCCATGAAGGAGATAAGGTAGACATGCGCACCAATAGTAACATATGACATCACAATTAGTTTAAATAACTGAAGTAGGAAGGTTCTGTGTTTTTGGTACAATTTTACCTTTTTGTGAGCTTTTACTTTTAGAAATTTTACAAATGTTCAATTGTGTTTATTACATATGTACATAATTATTGAATTAATACTGTACAAAATTATCCTAATGCCAGAAATATTCAATATAGGCTGCGTGATTTAGATATAAATTTCATATCTCACAAAGAGTGTAATTCCATATTGTACTGTATTGTGAAACAGAGCCTTTAGCTATTTCTGTTATTTAAACTTAGTATTGCATTCAGGGATATCAAAGCAACCCTTTCATTATTTGCCCTTATTGCAGATTATTATAGTTCTGTAAGTGTTGCTTTGTAACCCTTATATCTTCTCTATGTTATGTTTTGTCATTGAAGTAGACATTTTTGCCTCATTTTAGTTGAAGTATATTTTATCATAGGTTGGCTATTACCATTTTGCCCATTCTTTTGTACGTGGTAACTGGCACAAAGAGGAAGATAGCTCATTTTCTCTCCTTGCCAAGTGTTGCCATGATGTTGACCTAATTTCCTACTGGATGTCCAAGAAGTGTAGTAAAGTATCATCATTTGGAAACCTCAGTCATTTTCATAAAGCTGATCAGGTATAATGAAAAAGGTCATTTCATGCTTTTAGGTAGCACTACAGATATTTTGTCTTGAATACCACAAAAACAATTATTGTTTGTTTGTTTCATTTTACGCCTTTTCCCAACAGTATTTCAGTCATATAGACTGGTAGTTTCCTAACCATCGTTCCTGGAGAGTTACACCAGTACTAGACTACCTTCCTCCGTGCCAAACTACCAAAGCATCTCCTGGGGATCGAACCCACGCCAGAGAGGTAACTGGATTAGGAGTCATCGACTCTAACCCCTCGACCACGGAGGCGGTCAAAACAATTATTGATTTAGCCTTTGAATCCAATGTTTTAAATCTTAGTGCTAGTAATAATAAGCCTATGCAGCTCAGAAGTGAGCTTATATGTCAGGTCATCAGTCATCTTTTACTTGCATGAAGCTCTGTTGAAGGTGTTCAGATAGGTCTGATTCATCAAATATTTTTGGTCACAACCATAAGGAATGACTTAAAATGTGAACTTTAAAAATGTTTTGCTCCAAAACCAATAGGCTTAACCAATAGGCTTAGAAATTAAATATTAGAAAGCAACATTGTCTAGTGCACCTCTACCATTTTTGTCAAAATAAAAAGATCCCTGGACCTTGCAATCAGGATTGTTTGATTTTTTATAGTCTTATGTAGGCATACTAGAAAAAATTCTTTACCCATAGGCTTTAGCTTATATATTTGGTATGTAATAAAGTAGATTTCTATCAAGTTTATACAAATCTGGACACTGATGTCAAAATTGACTCTCCACCTTTAAGCATTTGTTTTTACATAAAACAGTGTCATAAAGGAAATACCTTTAAAATTCTGCTTCTCACAAACCACAAGATCTAAAGCTTATATATGATTATGATGTATAGCATTGTCTAGTGCACTTCTATTTAATTTACTTATACATGATTTTTATATGCCCGAAAGAATATCGGGCATATTATGTTATACCCCCTGGTGTCCGTCTGTCCGTCCGTCCGTTAGCAATTTGGTTTCCGGAGCATAACTTAAGTTCCATTTGGCCCACAGTATTCAAACTTCATAGGATGATTGCCCATATTGGGTAGAAGACCCCTATTGATTTTGGGGTCACAAGGTCAAAGTCACTATTAGCTAAATACTGAAAATAGTTTCCAGAGCATAACTTAAGTTCCATTTGACCCACAGTATTCAAACTTCATAGGATGATTGTCCATATTGGGTAGAAGACCCCTATTGATTTAAGGGTCACAAGGTCAAAGGTCAAGGTCACTATTACCTTAATACTGAAAATGGTTTCCGGAGCATAACTTAAGTTCCATTTGGCCCACAGTATTCAAACTTCATAGGATGATTGCCCATATTGGGTAGAAGACCCCTATTGATTTTGGGGTCACAAGGTCAAAGGTCAAGGTCACTATTAGCTAAATACTGAAAATGGTTTCCGGAGCATAACTTAAGTTCCATTTGGCCCACAGTATTCAAACTTCATAGGATGATTGCCCATATTCAAACTTCATAGGATGATTGTCCATATTGGGTAGAAGACCCCTATTGATTTTGGGGTCACAAGGTCAAAGGTCAAGGTCACTATTAGCTTAATACTGAAAATGGTTTCCGGAGCATAACTTAAGTTCCATTTGGCCCACAGTATTCAAACTTCATAGGATGATTGTCCATATTGGGTAGAAGACCTTTATTGATTTTGGGGTCACAAGGTGAAAGATCAAGGTCACTATCACCTTTGAACTGGAAACAGTTTTTGCTCAATAATTCAAGTATTAATCAACCTACAGCTGTAAAATTTTATAGGATTAACAGCTTTATACCCCTGACGTCTTTTCATTTTTACTTACAAGATAAAAACTTGATGGTGGTGCTTTGAAAACAGCAACAGTATATATACATGAATGTTCTTCAGCTATAAAGGAGGATAGCTTTTTGAAGGAGGTAATACTGTATTTAATTCCCATGTCTTACAAATGCTTCATCCTTACTAAAAGAAAAAGTATTTTTGGACATATAATGCTCCGCCTAGCGGTGCTCTTGTTAATTATGATATATAACGATATTTGTATAAATATTTTACTTTACAGCCAGTAGGAGCTACAAAGAGATGTTTAGATTGTCCTGAAAGTGTTGAAAAATCTTGTCCATATTCTGCCAAGAAAATTTATCTTAATAGGGTTGAACAGGTATGATATTGTAGTTTATCATTATCCTTCATTTTGTCCTATTATATGTAACATAATAATTACTATGTAAGTCCAATAAGCACAATGCATTCAAAGTAAGCATTTGTGATTGCTCTTTTATTTTCTATGTGTATTTAGACTGACACAATTTAGGGTGTTTCTTACATTAAAGTGATATGATATATATGATATGTGTTCTACAGGGGCACAAGGGCTGGCCAGCAAGTGTATTATGTTATGTTGTATATATGATATGTGTTTTACAGGGATACACAGGTTGGGCAGCATGTGTATTATGTGTTGTTGTATATATGATATGTGTTTTTAGGGACAGGAGGGTTGGCCAGCAAGTTCATAGTGTGATGTTGTATAAATTATTAGTTATAAATATTTTTGACAGGTTAATGGCCCTTTATAAATGGTTGTTTGGAAATATGACCCGAGCTGCTGGGCTAGGGTTATATTGCAAACACCTGTTATATTCGGAAATATAACCTGTCAGAAATGTTTGTACCGAATTTATACTACAGCAAGCATCTTTTTTGGAGAAAAAAAGTGAGGTTTCTTCATAAAATGACAGCAGTTGCTTATACAAAATTATATAAATGTCGCAATTATCCAATGAATAGCGACGTTACAAATGTGCAGTATTATAAATATATGTATATTTCCAGGGACACAAGGGTTGGCCAGCAAGTGTATTATGTGATGTGGTAGATATAGAGAATATAACTGATGCTCTCAGAAAAGGACCATATGGTAAATGTGTATATGACAATGATAATGATGTCATGTCACATCAGGTAATTATTGCTCATATTCAGCACCATTAAATATGTGAGATAAAGCTTTAAAGATAAATTGTCTTTTGATATTTTTGAATGTTCATTTAAAAGGTTGAAAAGTTTTTGACAAGCATTTATTTTGTTGTAATTCATCATCAAGAATTACTACTGTCTAATTGATATGCCTTAGACTAATAGCTCAATGTCTATGTGTTTATAATGCCTTAGACTAACAGCTCAATGTCTATGTGTATTCAATGTCTATGTCATAGACAGATTGACAGCTATTACCTTATATCCTTTCGACTGTCATCCGCTATACCCATAGGACGGCCAAAGCGTAAGAAAACGTATCGAATTTTTACATTTCTGAAAGCCAGTCTTAAATTACGACAGACGTCCATAGCGTAGTTAAAAGTATCAAAAATATACCTTTCTAGAATCCGTAGCGTAAATCAGCTTAAAATTTGAATTTTGTTTCATGCAACCCCGTATAAACCTCGTTTTCGTACATTCTGGTTTTTTTAATGTGTTTATGAAAATCGAAATATTACAAAGCCATACCGTATAACACTGTTAATATTACGTTCAAACAGACTCACAATCCTTGTTTTCTGAATAATGTATTTAAAACAAGTTCTGAACGTTTTAAAACGGTAAATTTTACGTTATTTACCTATATAGCCTTTTTGTTGTTCACGACTTGCCTGCGTCCTTTCATACCACGGCCATTAGAATACCATGTTGAGTAAAACGTCCACAACGTTTTAAAACGTAATTATTGAAAATCAATGAAAATCAATTTTTCTCAGGAAGGGTGATTGATATTATGCTTTTCAACGTGAATTTTGTAAGTTCAACTAATTTTTGTTTCAAATAAGAGAACTGCTTACAGAAACTCCGTTTGGTGTATGAATAAATGCATTTTAAAATACTATACCATTTAGAAGATTTTCTTCAATTAATTTAGATATCGATTTGATTACCACATTAATTAAAAAGTGTACAGTATATCTAAACATTTACTGTATCTGTCAATAAAGGGCACTATACAATTAACATATTTGGTCTTTTTATTTGAACAACATTTAACAGAATGAAATAAATAAAAGGTAAACTTCAAGAATTTAGTCATTTAAAACTAAATTTTGGTGGCCTTCTTACGACAAACAGTAGTGGCTTTCAGGAAGCTAAAATTTTATACCGGTTTATTACGTTATAGCCGTCTTATGACTATAGCGCCCGGCTTTTGAGAAGTCGATTTTTGGTACGTTTTATTACGCTATGGCCGTCAAAAGGATATAGGCATGTTTTGTTGGCTTTCCCCTCCCCCCCTTCTTTTTTTGAGGCCTCAAATAGTGAAGAAAAATGCCATATTTAGGTCCCAAACAAGAAATTTTAGACTTGTGAGGGGCTAAAAATGGCCTCAGGTTGATCTTAAGGTAATGCGTAACCACCGCCGAAAAGCTTTGAGAAGTTGCAGCACTTTGAAATCAGTTTTGATTGAAAAAAACAACACAAAATAGTGATTTTTGGCAGTTTTTAGACATCCCCCTATTGTCATGCTAAAAGGAAATTTAAGATTGAGCATGCTGTTACAAAGGCTATTGTCCAGTCAACATTTGTGCCAAGTTGAAGCATTTTTTTATAGTTTTATAGCAGATTGAACTTGTAACAGGTAGCTTTTCAATGAAAACAGCCATTTATATGCAATATGCTCATGCGGTTAAAAGTTAAGTGGATTTATATGGTATAATTATATTATATCTAAATTGAGACAATTTGTGAGCAAAAGTGTCTTTTTTTTCAAAATTGTCATAAATCAGTTACATGTATTTATATGCACTGATATAATTCATATTGGAACAAATGAAATAATTTTACAGGTTTAACATTTTGAAAAATGACCTTGACCTGTAAATGACATAAACTGTTAAGGCCATTCATGTCTTTCACTGTGGCAAAATTAAAAGGCCAAGGTCCCTCACAATATCACTGAGATACTTAATCTTCTGAGGATCTAACTGGTTGGGGAGTTTTGAATTTCTATCAATACATTGATAATTGCTGGTCTAAAAGCACAGCTGCAGCATGGCTCTAGATGCAGAGCAAAAATATTATTTTGAAAATCAACATGGAGAAAAATGTTCTAAGATGTTAAGAAAAGAAAAAAGATTCAAGAAGTAAATAACATGTAATGTGCGATTAAATAACTGATTTTATTGAATTCATCATCACATTTTTATTGTATGACTATCACCGTAAGGGCTTTTTTTGCATATTTTGACCTCTGTCTAGTATTTTACATGGATTGTAAGTGCCGTTTGCAATATGTAAATTACTATCTTTGTTCACTTCACAATATTTTACTTTAAGATATATTTTCAAATTCTGCAAAAATAAGCATGAATCTGGTGGCATACTGCTGTAATAGAAGTGTACCTGTATTAGAATAAGATGTTCTGACCATACATGTAAGCATACTATTTTAGGGTATACATATAAATTATTTTATTCCATTTTCATCTGAACCATGTGTTCTAGTTTAACCAGATTTCCTGTTCATTCTGCTATTACATACTGCTATTCTTGTTTTTTCTATATGCTCTAATAAGACTTATAAAGTTAGTCATCAGATGTCACTGATACCTTCTTTATTATGTATATTAGGTAGTGAATATGCAGTTTGAAGGCGGTGCTACGGCTACACTACAAATGGTGGCATTCACAAGTAAAATATGTGAACGTGAAGTTAAAATATATGGCACCAAGGTATGAAAATATCATAAAGTGTTTTTTTTTGTCTTCAGAATACTAATGTTGCATGTAGCTTTTATGATGTCAGCCAGCCTCAACTTCCAACTTTATCTTTTCAGTTTTCTTTGAATTGGCACTTTTATTTTGAAACCTGTTGAGTTGTTGACAGACATATTAAAATTCACAGCTAAATAAATATATTCCCTACATTTTGTTGATTATGCTAATCGTTTAAATCAACAATGTGAATTTACCTGTGGTAGTACATTATGTATGTATATTTACAAGGTAAATAAGACTTTACTTGATATCAGTTTGACTAAGGGTAAAAGAACAATTTGTCCCAGATTCAAACTCAAGCAGTTACTATTTTTCTTTAAAAAAAAAGAGAAAAACACACTTATTTCATTTCATTTGATGCAGGGCAAATTAAGAATTGTAATTATTTCTGTATCAATTTGATAGTGCAAATCATGAGTCAGGTGAATTATTACCAGTTGGGGAAAGAGTATTAGTTTAACTCTTAAATGATGCCTATAAACAAAATAATGCTCACTATTTAAATAATTGAGCTAGAAATAAAGTTCAATTGAATTTGAGTGTCAATTAAGTTTGTACCCCTATGATCAGAAATTAATAATTTGAAAACACTGTAGTGACATGCTTTGCTATAATTTATGACTTAATTGTGTCTCATATTTGTAGGGAGAAATTACAGTTAATGATGGAGCTTTACCTCCAATTAAAGTCTTCAATTTTCTGACACATAAATCAGGTAATACTTTCATTTTTAGCTCGACTATTCGAAGAATATGAGAGCTATTGTAGTCGCCCCTGCGTCGGCGTCAGCGTCCGCGTCGGCGTCTGCGTTGGTTAAAGTTTTTTGTAAAGTCAAATATCTCAATTATTGCTTGAGATATTCAATTGAAACTTACAATACTTATTTATAGTAACAAGGTTCATCAGATTGTCAAGTTGAATAACTCTACCTACAATATTGACAGAATTATGCCCCTTTTTAACTTAGAAATTTTGGTTAAAGTTTTTTGTAAAGACAAATATCTCAATTATTGTTTGAGATATTCAATTGAAACTTACAATACTTATTTATAGTAATAAGGTTCATCAGATTGTCAAGTTGGATAACTCTGCCTACAATATTGACAGAATTATGCCCCTTTTTAACTTAGAAATTTTGGTTAAAGTTTTTGTAAAGTCAAATATCTCAATTATTGCTTGAGATATTCAATTGAAACTTACAATACTTATTTATAGTAACAAGGTTCATCAGATTGACAAGTTGGATAACTCTGCCTACAATATTGACAGAATTATGCCCCTTTGAAACTTAGAAATTTTGGTTAAAGTTTTTTTGTAAAGTCAAATATCTCAATTATTGCTTGAATTATTCAATTGAAATTTACAATACTTTTTTATAGTAACAATGTCCATCATTTTGCAAAATTGCATAACTCTGTCTGCAATATTTGCAGAATTATTTGCCCCTTTGAAACTTAGAGATTTTGGTTAAAGGTTAAAGGTCTTCAAAGATATTTACTTGAAACTTTACACATGTACTTAGGGTCATAATTTGAGGGTCATAATTGTATGTCACTGACCAAGTTCCATAACTCTATCTTGCATTAAGGCTGATTCATATCCCCTTTTCTACTTAGTCTCTTGGTTAATGTTTACATGCAAGTTTTACATATCTCAATAACTATTAAAGATATTTATTTAAAACTTCACATATGCATCTAGGGTCAAAATTGTAGGTCACTGACAAAGATCCATAATTCTATCTTGCATTTCGGCTGATTTTTTTTTCCCTTTTTCAACTTGAAAAATTCATGGTAAAGTTTTGCTTGTAAGCTGTTATCTCCATAACAACTGAAGGGTTTGTGCATTTTTTGGGACAATTTTATGCATTCATAATAATAAAGCAGTGATTTACTTGATAAGACATCTTAATAACAAGCCTTTGTACTTTTTCTGTCAATTTTATGTATTCATAGGTAATTAGTATTATTATACTCAATAAAACACCCTTGTGACATTACCTTCCAAATAGTCAAGCCAATACTGTATAATTAGACTCTCTCTAAGGCCTATAACATGAATTTATAAAAAACAAGAAATATCTTTAAAAAAGATAATCGGCGTAAATTCAGTGCAAAATGTCTCATAGCTTTAGAATATTTTCAAAATTAATGATATTTATACTTTATAACAATATAAATGTCTAAATTGAAATATATTTGGTGGTTACTAGTATAATCTATGACAGTTGTCTAAACTTAGCTGAAACATGTATGCTCCTATAATGTCAACAAATTAGTCATGTTATTATAAATGCTAGAAGCTTTTTTGTCACCGTGACTTTTGACTACTGGTTTCAAAGTCAATACCAGATAATAACCAATCACACTACCAAATTTAGAGACTGCAAAGGCCACAATCAGCTGACAACTTGAATTTTATTGTTAAATAACATTAACTTAAATATGTATCTGACCTTCATTTTGTTAAAGCACTTCTGTGCATAAAATGCTGCAATTATTAGGTCATGATAATAACACCAAAAACTTTTGTTGTTTATATCTTTTATTTATGAAAGAATGCAAACTGTAATAAACAATCAATGGAACATATCAACTCTGAACTATACTATTTATAATGCCTTCTTATCTATCTGGCAATGAAAATGAATAATTGAAGACTTAAATCAAAAGTTAAACATAACCTTACTAGTAAAAGTTATACTTATGTATTTTATAAAAAAAAAGGATTTCTATTAAAAATTGCACAGCTTGACTAGTATTTTGTATATACTAGGGGTATGAGGTGGAGGTACTAGTTAAGCCTACTGGCATGGCTACGTGTCGTACACCTACACAGGTTATATTTAACAATGTACTTTAAATGTGGAATGTAAAATATAAATGTTGTTCCATATATACAGAAATATATCTATTTATCTTATAATAAGTACTAAACTCAATTTTGTATAACCCATCAATGACACTGATTATCAAGTGAGACAGTTTCAGATTGAGGTAGTCAATTGGGGTGTATTTTGGTAAATTTACCTACCGGTGTAAACAAACGCCGAATAACTATGAATAAATTAATTTGTTATTATTACGCACAAAAAATAATACTTAAAGTTTTGCGATTCTTTATGATAATGTTGCATTTTAAATATACTAATTTTTGCAATTCATATCAGCTCTGGAGAATCTTTTTGTTGATCAAAAATATCGTTCATTTTCATAGCAAACAGAAAAGCTACGGCAAATAAAGTACGAGTGAGTAGTAATCGAATGTTTAAGTAAAGGCTGAAAAACAAAAAGTTGGGTTTGTTGTTAATATTATCAACAAAATAAATTGTACATGAAATCATATGTACTGTATATTTTTGTATTTTGATATATCTTTGTTTTGGTCATAACATTGTGATATTTAGTTTACGATTGTATAAATATTTTTAATACAACTTTATTCTTAGAGACAAGTAAACTAAAGATTACGAATTTGTCCTTAAATTTCATAACAGCCAGTCTTTCCACCAATGAAAAACACCCTCTTTTAGCTGAAGATTTTGTAACTAACAGTTTCATTTGTTACAAATCTAGGTCAAAATCCATTTTAATACAGCTACGCCGAAAAAATCAGCCCTTTTGTAAACTTAGAAAATTTAACATTATCAAGGCTCTTTTACTATCAAGCACTTAGAATAGTCGAGCGTGCTGTCCTACCGACAGCTCTTGTTAAAACATAACAGTCACAATTACGTTTACTTTCAAACTTGTACAATTATATCAACATGATTAAACCAGAGACTACAATTACTTAGGTAACCCATACTGTTTTTGTCAGTTATCAATTTCTGTTATAATGAAGTGCAATAAACAAAAAAGAAAGTTCTGACATTAAAAAGAGGGAGATTTCTTTAATGTATGAAAATACCCCTTATTTTAAGATAAATCTTTTAAAATTTGGGTGCAGCAAGTAGGAGTCTCCCGCTCAAAGTGGGAGAGTTCACATGTTATGTAAACATTCCGTATTTACAATATAAAGATGCAATTTTTTCTGAAAAAATGAAATGTTCATGTTGGATTTGAACTGTCACAGATAATCAAAGCACTCTGGATAATTGTGCTAAGGAAGGACCTTCCCAAACACATTTTAATTTCAAATTCTATTTGGAAGACCCTGGTTAGGTTTGAACTCATAATACACTTATTTTTGCTATAAAATGAAAAGAGCCGCATCACAACAAAACCAACATAGTGCGTTTGCGACCAGCATGGATCCAGACCAGACTGCACGGATGATCAGGATCCATGCTGTTCGCTATCAGTTTCCCTACTTGTAATAGGGTTTATAAGCGAACAGCATGGATCCTGATCAGACTGCGCGGATGCACAGGCTGGTCTGGATCCATGCTGGTCGCAAACACACTATGTTGGTTTTGTCGTGACACGGCTCATTAATTCTTTTTGTTTTGTTATCAGCGAGTCATTTTCCGGAGGATGCAATGGTAGCTTCACCTTTAATGGGTCATGGAGGAGCTGACTATTACACTATTCAAGCATTCGTCAAGGCTCTACATGTAAATATTTATTGGTTAAATGTTTTATGCCCCCACTTCAAAGAAGAGGGGGTATATTGCTTTGCATTTGTCGGTCCGTCGGTCCATAGACCAAATGGTTTCCGAGTGATAACTGAAGAACGCTTAGGCCTAGGAACTTCAAACTTGGTATGGTGATTGGTCATGACCAGTAGATGACCCCTATTGATTTTGGGGTCAAGGGGTCAAAGGTCAAGGTCACATTGACCTTGTAAGTAAAAACAGTTTTCGATCAATAACTAAAGAACGCTTAGGCCTAGGAACTTCAAACTTGGTATGGTGATTGGTCATGACCAGCAGATGACCCCTATTGATTTTGGGATCAAGGGGTCAAAGGTCAAGGTCACATTGACCTTGTAGGTAAAAACGGTTTCCGATCAATAACTAGAGAATGCTTAGGCCTAGAAACTTCAAACTTAGTATGGTGATTGGTCATGACAAGCAGATGACCCCTATTGATTTTGGGGTCAAGGGTCATGGTCACATTGACCATGTAGGTAAAAACGGTTTCTGATCAATAACTAAAGAACGCTTAGGCCTAGGAACTTCAAACTTGGTATGGTGATTCGTCATGACCAGCAGATGACCCCTATTGATTTTGGAGTCAAGGGGTCAAAGGTCAAGGTCACATTGACCATGTAGGTAAAGACGGTTTCCGATCAATAACTAAAGAACGCTTAGGCCTAGGAATTTCAAACAAGGTATGGTGATTGGTCATGACCAGCAGATGACCCCTATTGATTTTTGGGTCAAGGTGTCAAAGGTCAAGGTCACATTGACCTTGTAGGTGAAAACGGTTTCAAATCAATAACTTGAAAATGCTTAGGCCTAGAAACTTCAAACTTGGTATGATGATTGGTCATGACCAGCAGATGACCCCTTTTGATTTTGGGGTCAAAGGTCAAGGTCACATTGACCTTGTAGGTGAAAACGGTTTCCAATCAATTACTTAAGAACGCTTAGGCCTAGAAACTTCAAAATTGGTATGGTGATTGGTCATGACCAGCAGATGACATCTATTGATTTTGGAGTCAAGGGGTCAAAGATCAAGGTCACATTGACCATGTAGGTAAAAAAGGTTTCTGATCAATAACTAAAGAACGCTTAGGCCTAGGAACTTCAAACTTGGTATGGTGATTGGTCATGACCAGCAGATGACCACTTTTAATTTTGGGGTAAAGGGGTCAAAGGTCAAGGTCACATTGACCTTGTAGGTAAAAACGGTTTCTGATCAATAACTAAAGATTGATTAGGCCTAGGAACTTCAAACTTGGTATAGTGATTGGTCATCCCTTCTGATTTTGGGGTCAAGGGGTCAATGTCATATTGACCTTGTACTTAATGACGGTTTCTGACCAATAACTCAACAACTCAAGTTGCCTTGGTTGATATTTTTATATTAAACTAAAAATGCTTTTGGTATACACATTTGAAGGTCTTATGTAATGTTACAACTTGGCTGTCATTAATGAGGCCTACATGATTCATGAAATTTATGCACATATTATTTGGTAAGATTTGTAATAACTTAAATTGCTGCACACAACCTATGGGGTCACAATAATTATTACCTTGTGACTAGTCATGACCAGTAGATACTAAATAACCCTTATTAATTGTTTGTTCACTGGGTCAGAAGTCATACATAATAACCTGATCACATGACTAATTGGCTGCCGATAGGGGGCATACATGTTTTACAAACATATCTTGTTTACAAATTGTTTCTACTTTAAAGGACATTTTTGGGAATTTTCATAAATAAACACAAAGGAAGAATTTAAACTGTTTAATAGAATTTCTTATTTCTGTTACAATTTTTCAGTTTGAATAAAAGGACTTAAGTGTTTTAAAGATAGGCCATTTTTATTTTTAAGAAATTATGCTACAGATTAAGAAAGTGGGGGGGGAAAAGCCAATCCGCTCTTTAATTGTTCTTGAAATTTTGCACAGTGAATCGAACAAAAGTAACTAAATGAAAATGAGAAAACAATAAGGTATTGTTTACCTTATTTGTGAATTATCTGCTCTTGAATTAAGCCGAAAAGTCAAATCCAGGGGCAGATAACTCAAAAACTAGAACAGTGACTCTCACATTTATAAAATGTTTTTGTTAAATATTCTAACAACATGCCAAGTTTAAAGAAATTCTATTGAATAATTTTGATTTATCCTGTATGTCTGTATGAAAACTCCTGAAAACGTCTTTAACAAAGTTCTTGATGATGCAGTAATTTGTTGTTTTACATGCTGTTATAATGCAATGAGTACATCTCAAGATAAATAAACATATTAAATTTTATGTAGACTAAGTGATAACTGACTAGATTTTATCATTTATACATAAGTGAAACTTCAGGTTTGCCATTTTATTTGAGCATTCTATATTGGTCTGTACATTAGTCTTCCTTATTTTAGCTATTACATAAACGTCTTAATATTTTAAAGTGATTCCAAATGCATTAAAAATCAATTTCATTATACACATTAAACAGCGAATCTAAAAAGTCAAACAATTTTGTTTGGGATTAATTTTAGATAATTCTGAAGTTAAACTGAAAGAAGAAATTTGAGACAATTTAATCTTGTGAATAAATCAAAAATATCTGTACTTATAGTATGGATACTACTTCTATTCATGTTAAAAGAAATTCAAAAACATTCAATTAGTAAAATAAGAGATAATTAAGACATTCAATAACAAGATATGTTTGTAAAACATGTATGCCCCCTATCAGCAGCCAATTAGTCATGTGAGCAGGTTATTATGCATGACTTCTGACCCAGTGAACAAACAATTAATAAGGGTTATCTAGTATCTTCTGGTCATGTCTAGTCACAAGGTAATAATTATTGTGACCCCATAGGTTGTGTGAAGTTATTACAAATCTTACCAAATAACATATGCATAAATTTTATGAAACATGTAGGCCTCATTAATAACAGCCAAGTTGTTATATTACATAAGACCTTCAAATGTGTTTACGAAAAGCATTTTTAGTTCAATATAAAAAAAAATATCAACCAAGGCAACTTGAGTTGTTGAGTTATTGGTCAGAAACCCTCATTAAGTACAGGGTCAATATGAAATTGACCCCTTGACCCCAAAATCAATAGGGGTCATCTACTGGTAGTGACCAATCATCATACCAAGTTTGAAGTTCCTAGGCCTAAGCATTCTTTAGTTATTGATCGGAAACCGTTTTTACCTAAAAGGTCAATGTGACCTTGACCTTGAACCCCTTGACCCCAAAATCAATAGGGGTCATCTGCTGGCCATGACCGATTATCATACCAAGTTTGAAGTTTCTACGCCTAAGCGTTCTTTAGTTATTGATTGGAAACCGTTTTTACCAACAAGGTCAATGTGACCTTGACCTTTGACCAAAAATCAATAGGGGTCATCTGCTTGTCATGACCAATCACTATACCAAGTTTGAAGTTGCTAGGTCTAAGCGTTCTTTAATTATTGATCAGAAACCGTTTTTACTAACAAGGTCAATGTGACCTTGACCTTTGACCACTTGACCCAAAATTCAAAAGGAGTCATCTGCTTGTCACCACCAACAATCATACAAAGTTTGAAGTTCCTAGGCCTAAGCATTCTTTAGTTAATTGATCGGAAACCCTTTTTACCTACAAGGTCAATGTGACCTTGACCTTTGACCCCTTGACCCAAAAATCAATAGGGGTCCTCTGCTGGTCATAACCAATCCCCATACCAAATTTGAAGTTCCTAGGCCTAAGGGTTCTTAAGTTATTGATCGGAAACTGTTTTTTACCTACAAGGTCAATGTGACCTTGACCTTTGAGCCCTTAACCCCGAAATCAATAGGGGTCATCTGCTTGTCATGACCAATCACCATACCAAGTTTGAAGTTCCTAGGCCTAAGGGTTCTTTAGTTATCACTCGGAAACCGTTTTTACCTAAGAGGTCAATGTGACCTTGACCTTTGACCCCAAAATAAATAGGGGTCATCTACTGATCATGACCAATCACCATATCAAGTTTGAAGTCCCTAGGCCTAAGGGTTCTTTAGTTATTGATCGGAAACTGTTTTTACCTAAGAGGTCAATGTGACCTTGACCTTTGACCCCTTGACCCCAAAATCAATAGGGGTCATCTACTGGCCATGACCAATCACCATACCAAGTTTGAAGTTCGTAGGCCTTAGGGAACTTTAGTTATCACTCGGAAACCATTTGGTCTACGGACCGACGGACCAACGGACCGACGGACCGACAAGTGCAAAGCAATATACACCCTCTTCTTCGAAGTGGGGGCATAATTATATTATACGAGTAGCAGTACTATAACACTTCATCTGTGCTTTATTAAAATGACCCTGCAACATTTCCAATATTAGTGGTTTTGACAGTCATTAGGGTTTTCAGTTTTTCCATTTTATGTTTTAATCCTCTTAATCTTGAATAGATGAATATAAGAGAAGTTCACTTAAAAACCTTATTGAAAAAGTGTGTATATACATAATGAAATAACCAACTGTAATAATTTTGTATTACAGAATGAAGACCAGGCTGAGATCGAGACTGGGCCAGATGAAACTCTTGCTAGTCATCTGCTATGTTTTGCTGCCGAAAGGGCGAGAATAGAGAACAGAGTTCTCAATCGAAATAGCAAAGGAGAATTTGAATAGAGAGACAGAAATGGGGTGGCAACAACCTACAACACTGTTTTGTTTATAATGTATAATACTACTAGGGATATAATAAGCTAAACTAATCCTGCTTAGTGTACATTATGAAGTCCAATATATATATATATATATATATATATATATATATATATATATATATATATATATATATATATATATATATATATATATATATATATATATATATATATATATATATAAGAAGTTCGATTCCTTGTGTGGATCCCATGTATAAAAAAGTATGTTTTGGGAAATGCAGAGTACAAAGTTCTTTAATTTTTTATACGTTTATTTCAGAAATAAACGTATAAAAAATTAAAGAACTTTGTACTCTGCATTTCCCAAAACATACTTTATATATATATATATTTGAAAAGAATTTCGGAGGCTGATTTTGTATCTTCCAATTCATTCATGGTTCATGGTGCTGTGTTTGTATAGCCTTACGGCAGATGCCTTAACATCACTTTCATGTTGGGGCAGCTATGATCCATTTCATAAAAAGTAATTGTCTGATTAACCAAAGATTGAATATACATTATATATGTATAACTTTGATTGATGCATTTGCTTAACTAGTTAACTTGTGGTATTATATGATAATGAAAGGATGTTGATAAAACTTCTTTGAAACATATATATCATAATGTTAAAGTACTTAAACTAAATATTGTCTAAATTGACATCTGGCTTTGGAACAAGATGAAACATTATAAACTTGTTTAAGAGCATAATAGGTCACTCGCTAAGGCCTATAACTGCAACATAGATTTGAGAAAAAAATTAGGCCCTTTTTGAACTTGGAAAATTTTACATTATTAAGGCTCTTTTACTATCAAGCAATGTGCTGTCATACTGACAGCTCTTGTTAAACATGTTATTTATATACTTTTTATATTAATTAAATAGAATATTTTTAAGTTTGAGATTTTAGATTTATGTTATAGATTTGTGAAACAATAGTGTTATCCAAAAGATTTACATTTGAAAGATCAATGAAAATAGTTTTTTGTTACTTCTACAAAAGTTACACAGTAACATTAACTATCTCGATCAACAAACTGGTAGTTTAAGACAGAACAGAAACACAGAAGTATGGTGAAACAGAACTTAAATATCTTAGGAAATTAACAAGAAAGTTAAACCATCCTGTAAATTTTATTTTAGAACTATCCTTTACATTTTGTTTTATAATGGCAAGAAACTGCCTCTACATTTAATGGCTTATCAGATTTCCCGATCTCAGTCTGTTATTATAAAATGACACACCGAATGAAATTTAATACTTCTTATATTTGTTTCTTCCACTTCTTACAGGAAGTCATTCTAATATTAGAGGGAAGGCCAAAACAAAATAGTCAGCCAAATAAGATTTATATATCTTCCCAAGTATGGACTTGAAAAATGATATCTGATTCAGTCTTTTAAGGCACTTCAAAATTAGATGATATAAAAGAGAAAAAATTAAAGTGCTTCAAAAGATTTATATCATAAGGAGGCCAACAGATGTCATAACTTACCAGCAATGGGGGAAATTAGATTGTAGTCTGTGGAGATTTACTTTACTCAAGTTGTAGACAGCCTGTGTTGCTACAGGAATGCTACATTAAAACATTTAAGACAACTTACATTATTTATTATCTAATGCTTCTTTCATCTTGTGCAATGATTATCTGTCATTCTCTTAACCATTTAAACATAATAAAAAACAGAAGTTTATCTTTTCTATAGAAATAAAACTGGTTTAACTATTTTCTTGTGCAAATAAGTGAAAAGAATTTAGTTTTTTGTTTAGTGAATTATTTATAGAGTTTTGTTTTTTGTTAACTTTAATGCTTAAAGATATACTATGCTCATCCTTCAATCAAATATTTAAAACTACAGAAATTCTTTGAAAGCTATAAAATTCTTACTGAATATGACTAATTTTAACAAAAGAAAGACTAAAATATGTATGGTAAGCTGCGTTCCCTATTACAGGTCCAGTAAAGTTGGCATTTTCTTTTAAAAAAAACTGGCAGTTTTTTAATGACACTATATATTCCTTTGTGACCACATATAGTGTGTAGAATTATAAACGTAACATATCTACTTCGAGTAAAGTCAAAACATGTTTATTGTTTATTTACAAAGAAACTGTGTAGCAATTGTCAGTATTTTCTGACATCAAATTTGAGCATAGTATATCTTTAAATCAACTAATTTATCAATAATAAATAGTATTTCTTGTTGTTGATATTTTTTATTTGATACTGTATTATCTTTATTTTATAAAAAATGTTTTAAATAAATTTGATAAAAAAGGTGTTTTTTTCTGTGTGTTGCCAAATACACAAAAGCTTGTCCGAACTACTCCTCATAAACTACTGGTGCAATTTCCTCCAAACTTTACAGGAATGATCAGTACCAAGTCTAGTTGTGCATATTGTCAGCATTTTCCGGTTCAATGATTTTTTTCAGAGTTATGGCCCTTTAATAATTTTTATTTTTAAAGTTTGTCCGGACTACTCCTCTGATACCACTAATGCAATTTCAATGAAACTTTACAGGATTGATCTGTAGCTCAAGTCCTTGCGCAAATTGCTAGGGTTTTCCGGTTGAATGATTTTTGGCCGAGTTATGGCCCTTTGATAAAAAGGTGTTTTTTTATGTGTGTTGCCAGATACACAAAAGCTTGTCCGGACTACTCATAAACTACTGGTGTAATTTTATCCAAACTTTACAGGAATGATCAGTACCAAGTCTAGTTGTGCACTGTCCGACTGTCTGTCTGTCCGTCTGTCACAAAACTTGTCCCAACATAAAATTGGCCATCATGAGGCGACACATGTGATTACTGATCGCTCTTGTTTAACACACAGGTACCCTCAAAGCACGACATACGCTTTTATTTGCGTTAATCGTTAAGTATGTACTATTTCTTATTTTTATGTACGTAAATATACTATAGTGTAAAGATACAAAGTTCTGTTATTCACAAATGTGAATATATAAAATAGACGAACACAACTGTAAACTTATGATGCTTAATCTTAGTAATGGTCAGTGGCAAGAATCGCCTGTCTTAAATAAGAACTGCCTATTCAAGTATTCATGGAATTATACTGCATGTAAAAGTCAAACTGATATATCATTAATTTACAGAGTATGCAGCTGAGAACGCCAATTTTGTACCATGTTCTATAACATTTAACTAACTGGTTAGTGTTCATGTTTAAAATACAAAAGTTCATATAGAGACTAGTCCTGCAGCTTTGGTTGAGTGGAAGAAAATCTAATATGCCCCTCTTTCAGTATTTCAGGAAAATAAACAGACAATTGCCAGCTTGCTGTGTAGCTTACTAACATAAAAGAATTCGATCCACCAAGGATTCGAACCAATGTGAGCTTCTATCAATCAAAATGCAGTAATGTAAATATATAGCACTAGTAACGAAATTGCACGACAGATATTGCGTGTGATGTATATGTTATAGAACGGTGATTTTGGTGTCCTTCAAAAAGGTTACTCATTGGCCTATCACCTAATCAAGATTTTGCTTCAGATGTTGCTTTTGTCAATTAGTACAGTTATAGTAATATAGTATTTTGTATGGAAGTAAAAACATTACATTGTTACATGTTGCTCCTTTCATGACAAATAACTTAACATTTAGCATTATTTTCCCTCACCTTGGACATTAGAAAAAAATAAGATTCGTACTGTGCTGCTTTTTAAGTGTCATCAATTTATACTTCCGCTCATGGTAGATTTTATATAATATATTTGCACTTGTTTATTAATTGATTTGTTTATTATTTATTCATTGACGAATAATTGCGGTAGAATTCCGACTACCTGTATTATAAAGTCTTATTCCATCTTTCGCGTTTCTTGTTTCTATACGACTGTGCTGTGACGGTTACCCGTGTATCAAAAACATTGAATACGAGGGTACCTGTGATATTAAAAAATAAATAGCAAAGAGGTGACCCGTTTCGCTGCAAAACCGAAAGTAGGGTGTTTTTATTAATTTTACATTTATTTTTTACTTATAACTGCTATTTTCTCGAAGATTATGTATAAATGAACATATGAAGTATGTATGATGCATATATAATCAAGCCACTGGTTCATTTCAGCCCGAAAATAATATCGAGGTGATAAGCAAGACAAGACATGTCTGTTGTGGGGTTTCAATAATTGAAAATGGACACACTACAATAAACACTCGATGATAAACGTGGTATACATATTTTCCACATGACATAACTCCTTGTGTCAGTTGAAGGAACATTAGATGGATTGTTATCCATCGCTGGTTTGTTTTTAGCAAAGAATAGCCTGTGCATGTGCAGAGAGGATACCATTTGAGAGGGTATTGATACCATATCGATGCACCGTGTTATATGCAGTACGCTTTTCAAAGAGGGTTTGAAAACTGTATTGATATATAATAGTGCTGTTTCATTTCCTTTGATTCATACAAGAAAAAAACTCACCTGATATATAGCAGATGATTCTAGTTTGTACCTGCTATATACCAGCTTAGTTTTAAGTGTTTTTACTCGTTTATTGACAAATTATAAATCATGATTTTAGTTTCAGTACAACATTGCTTAAAACGGGACCGAAGAATGTTATATACTCTTTAAACTGTTTACATTTTTATTTGGATTGTTGCATAGTGACATGTTAAGGAGTTTTGATGAAGATATGACCCCCTCTCATGGGCATAATAAGATACTGTTGAATTGACAATTTACGAGTATGTCAACTATATGCTTAAAAGGACACCACATGTATGCAAAATGTAAACCTGTTTACAGAGCTGCATCAGTACTAGGGGTGCAATACTTAAGTACCACATGAAATAGGATTATTTAGAATGCATAATTTATTTATGCATTATAATTTCTCTTAGCTAAATTTTCATGTAATGCAATTTCTTAAGTTCTGGTTTAAAATAGTTATGAGTAAATTTATGTGTAAATGGGAAAACGTACTTTTTTACAAAAATAAAATAATATTATACATGGTATTTAGAGCTTCATTTTTGAGAAAACATGATGACATTTTTATCAAAACCAAAGTGCTGCCTTGTAATGCAGTAGCAGTACCACTTTTTAAGACAGTAATGCAGTACAAGTACCAAAAGTAGCACTTTTTTTGTAAGAGTAATTCAGTATCAGTATTAGTACTTGCAAAACCACTGCAGTACGTATACTGAAGTACAAGTACCAGGAATGCAGCTCTGACGGTTTACGAGTTATTGACATTTTTCTAAACTAAAGATTGACTATAACAAGGGCTCTTGTTCAGAAATGAGGAAAATCTAAATAATCTACTAGTATTATATATCATCATTATGAAAAACGTTTTCCTACTGATCACTGTGATCATTGTTAGGATCAAATAATAGCATTCAGCTGACAAATCACGCAAGCAAAACATGTTTCCTACTCAAAATGTTTGAAATCTGTATGCAGGTGTCACACTGTCTCGAATTTGGCATCAGATGGACACACGAATAAGGAAATGTTCAAATTCGGATCTGATCGTAATAACATCGGGTCATTCGCGAGGGTATCTTTTGCCATCGTATGACCTCCAACCAAATTTTACAGGCTCCGGCAGCAACTTCGTGACATTTGCGGGAGACATTGCGCAGGTTCATTCTCGTGTTGAATTCGTATGCCAGTTTTTCGCTTCGTAAGGCCGTCGTGAAGCCATCTTGTCAAATCGTGTAGTCTTTGTCTTTACTTCTTGTGATCATCAGTGCAATCGCCTAAAAAAACTACGAAGGAAACACGAAGATTCCCGATTGTCTTAAGAAGGGTACAGGCTACATGAAGCTCCCACAATACTGTCGTGTCGCCATCGTATTTTCGTACGATGTCATCGAGATGGGACCACGATGAGTACGAAAAAAGCAAATTAGAGTGGCTCAAGCGTTGCATGTTTATCATGGTAGACATATAAAAGGCTAGCCACAGACCATCTTCCTCATCTGATAGTCTTGCACATCTACAGAGACATCAAAAGCTTCCATTATTTGCAATTAATTAACAATTATTTTCAGTTTATTTCCTGCAGAATTTCATGATTTGATGATGAGTCAACCGAGAAAAAAGAAGACAGCAGCATTATTAATTTTGATACACCCTACAAAACATGATGAGCAACTCCTACAGGTTCGCCTTGGGTGGCATGATAAAGTTTAATCAAATATGATAAACAAGATCAAAAAGGAAAGGTGGCGTTCAATGAACGAAACCCCACAGACCAAGCAACAAGAACTAGTCACAAGGAGCCCAGGAGGACGCCAAACAAAAACAGGACAGAGCGCAATGCAGAACACGGACAGGCTAATCACTTTATTGATACGCAGAAATAATAGTTACTAACAAAGAAATCGAAGAAAACAAAAAGAAGTGATTAATTTATTGGCTCCCAAAGCAAGGACACAGCAGGAAGGGGGGGGGGCAAAATTAAAGAAATAAAACTAGGGGTAAAAGGGAAGATACTTACCGTAGACGAGAATACAACAAGGGGCACAGACAAATATGTCACCAAAGCAGTATGAAACAACAAAGACATACATCCGAGGAACACTGAGGGGCGCCGCCTTGGAACAGTCAGCAGCATAAGTACTGCTGGGGAGTTTAAACCGGTTAATGGTTCACCAAACCTCACTCTTAGCCGCACCATGTTCCTATAAACGCGACAGTGTAAATAAAATGAATCCCCACCAAGTGAAATTCTAACAGTTGTTATGTTTACAAATGGTGAACACTGAAATGATCATGTAGAAAGATATAAAAGAAAACCCATTGACCATAACAAAAGAACTCAATGTCTTTAAGAAAGACAGAGCAACAAAAAATCGCCTACAAGGGCCCAACGAAGCAAGACAGAAGACGAACATTAAGGCAATTCAGTCCCAAAGGGCTTGAAGAACTGTCCATCATAGAGTCTCCCACTTGGTCCGTCAGATGTAATCAAAAGAGGGAAGCGTAGCGTCTTACTGTAAAAGTGTTGCGGTATGTCTTCAAATAGTAGGGTCATAACGTCTTTTAATAAAAAGTTTAATAATTTAAATAAAGATAACAGAACAATTAAATAACCCAAGATCATACGAAGTTTGTGAATAACATCCCTATAAAATCAGACTGGTAAATCCCTTGTTGTAAATCACTATTGAATTTTGAGATTAAAGATTAAAATTTTGTAAAATATTGGCGTAATTTGTAATAGCGGTAGTCTTGTTTGAGTAGCTTGTTAATAATGAAAATATTTCGTTCGTTCAAAGCCTTTACGTTGCTACAAGCTCTTGCAAATCTAATAATCTGAGATACATATACCCCGTAAGATGTTGCATGCGGTACGTCTCCATCTAAATATGGATAATTTACTGTACCAAAATCAAAATTATCTCTTTTATCATAGATTCTCGTGTGAATAGAATTGTTTTCGATAGTAATATGAAGATCCAAAATAAAGTTTAAACGTAGTTTAGCTCCGAATACTATCTGCAACTGAAATTTGCCGCGGTTGGCCGAAGGTTTTATACCACCAGGAGGTCACTTGACGCCTTCTCAACCACGCACGAACGCATCGTACTCAAAATACGACATTATGTACCTATACCGTGACCTTCGCTTGTCCTGCGGGTAAACTACTTGGTACAAATTTGCATCTTTTAGGTGACTTCGTGTGTGGATCGGATGCTAACGCGTGACCTCCGGTAGGAATCGTGTGTTGATTGGATGCGATCGCGTGATATCTTCTGTAGAAATCGTACTTGCTTCGGCTGTTGAGGGCTTTCGACCAATTTCGGGGCCATCTTCGCACGAAATTTCAAATTCCATATTCCTATGCCCATCTGGTGTCAATTTCGGGAATTAGAGAACCGTATTCAATATATTCCTAAAATTGACCAAAATGTTGGACTGTTTTAAAAGTTTGCTAAAATTTTCTTAAAAGTACATTAAGTATATGTATATTGGTTATTAAATCTCGAGCATTGTTTAGTCGATAAATACCTATAATAATTATATAACTAAAACACTTTTTTCTTTCCAAGAGCGATCTGGGGCATACATAAATAATGTTAAATGCAGTTGACAATAATTATAGCGTATTTAAATACTCTTCAAAGCGGAGGTTATGCATTAGGAGGGGGTCATACTTTAAGGAAGTCTTCTTTCGATTTACGTATTTAATGTACATTTATAGAAACATCGAAGCTAATTGGACAACTCCTGTTCATACAAATACAAATGTAAAAGATAATATGAGAATCCGACCCAGTCAACGGCCTATGGTGGCTGATTTGGAACGCTTTTGTGAGTCGTCTTGGCGCTAGCGACAACGTGCCAAAGCGCCAAACGGCGCGTTATCGGACTTTCGTCTTGTCGCTAACGATGTACGCCAAACGGCGCGTTGTCGTGGGGCGTGTTGTCGCGATGTCAAATTGTCGCTCGGTTCAAATCGAAGGATTGGCTTATAAGCCAAGCGACAACGCGGCGTTTGGCGTGCTCCGCTAGGACGACAGTGCGACAACGCGCCGTTTTGCGCTTTGTCACGTTGTCGCTAGTGACAAGACGAAATGGCGATATAACGATATAGGTTGCCCAAAGCGCAGTGTACCAAATCAGCCGCCATAACGGCCAGTGACAAGTGATCCTAAATATACAAGTATAAACTGTTTACAAATCATTTACTTTCTATACGGTATTTCTATAAGAAGGATGAAACGCAATCTTATTTCTATTTTGAATCCTCGAATCTGGTATCACAAAAGAAAACAATAACCTGCACGTATGGCCATTTACAAAAACAAATAAAATATAAGTTCAAAAAGGACATTATTGTTTCGAAATACTCTGAAGAGTTGTGAAACACTACGTTAATACCTGTATTGGTTACATAAATTAAGATGTTATCGTCACTTTCATGTCATATACAATTTAAAAAAAGCACATGACTGAGAAAAGACAAACAAAAAAGGGGTTAACTAAGTCAAGATGAAATCAATACATGTGAAACATGGTCTGCTTATATCTTGCTACATATTTGACACTTCAAGTTAATGCCTTAAGTAGTTTCAATGTAAGGCCATTTTCTAGTTAGGAAAATGATGGTTGCATTTGTACTTTGTCAAAACGCAATATAAAATTGTGGGACGTATCCAGCTGAGCATTTATACGACCCTTAATTAATGTACATTTTCTAGTTTAACTTGCATCAAAAATATCAGCAGATATTGTCGAGAATAAAATTGTCTACTAATTAACTAACTACGATTGTAGGGACAATAAGGATAAGATTTGTTTATAATACGTTAATGTATTTTATGAGAAACATGAAAAAACTTGATGAAGCAATACCTAATATAAATCTTAATTAGAGTTGTGTGATAAATACTAAATATTTACATTATACTAAAAGAGACATTTCATTTCAAATTGTTGCAAAGATGTATGTTTATGTTACATGTTTAATCTAATTTATTTAATTTACATATACATTGTGGACAGCATCTCTATATACATACATAATTATATTATATATCCAATGTCGACATAAAGTTGTTTTACACTACTATTTTGTGGTACGATGTTATCTTCTTGTAAGCGTTTTCTGATTAATATATGAATGAACTCATGCATTACTTCTTGATAGCAATCAATTGCTTATTGTAATGAAAATGTATTTCCTCTCTAAAAGCGTATATTAACATGTTTAACAAAAACTACATATAGTTAATAAGCTTATTTAACACTCGCGATCTTCGTGTCATGTTTATAACACACACCATGTATATCCAGTAACGCAGGAATATGCAAATATCGCAGGAATTCTGCAAAAGTAACGCAGAATTGTGTAATATAGTGGCTAAAACCAGCAAGATGTGTTAATTGACCAATTTTTTTGTACACCAAATTGGAAGAAATGAATTAGCGTATTCGGTTGCTGAGACATTATACTTTAAACCTCATCAAAAATATTTCCATAAAATATTTTTTTTTCAAGATCATTCGTGAAAATGACGACCTAAACGTATTGATTGCGATTTTTAAGTTTAGTTGATATCTTTAAATACAATAACATACATATTACTTGATGGTTTTTTATATTCGGTGTACCTGAAACATTTTCCAATCTACTCGTGTCATATTACACTTATCAAACGAAATTTAGACCATTTTACGAGGTAACGCCGAATTCGTAAATGACGCACGGAAGCAACGGCGGGTATCTCATTAAAAGTAACTAAATCTTATTTTACCAGCTTCCTTCTATTGTTCCTTCTATTGTTATACGTATACGACACTTATAGTTTGACAAATGTCTTAGGTATACAGTTTTACATGTAAATGTGTTAAATGAACATATTTATTTGACGAAACACAAAAATCACTTTCAAAACGGTAATCAGGTTGTCTTTCACACGAATCATCTGACAAATTTATTAATGCTGGTTAAAGTACATGTATAATATCGTAGCCACCGTATGCGCTTATTCATATCTTTGAATTTGATTTAGTATGAAATATTTTGGTTATTTTACTTGCTGTATTATTCGTTTTGGCAATTGCACAGAATCGGCGTTACTTTTCCGTTATTTGCACATTCCTGCGTTACTGGATATGCACGGTGACACTGTTAAAATACATTGATTATGTTGTCGGTTGTCATTTACATGCTAGTAAATTGTGAGCGCTTTCTTTAATCATCTACAAGTCGGTTTATGAGCGCGTCTTTCTATTTTGCTGAACATGTTATATATTCATTGTATCCGTGTGTATGCAACTGCATCATGACTTCCTAGTTTTATCTGATAGACAAGAAGCTGCATTTGTGCCTCCACAACTCACATACAACCTGTTTCTGACTCTATTAAATGCTAACGCTAGTGGTGCTTCTATGTCTAGAACTTCTTCACAAGTTGATAGATCGTCAGATAATTGAAATATTTTGTTTTCTTTTATTGAACTTGCATACACCGACCCACCTATGCTTACAGCTACGCCAGTATAGTCATATAGATCATTGGATCCCGTTACTGCACCTCCCTTGGAGTGACGCCGGATAGTCTTATCAATTCCAGTAACATATATTTGTTGATGGTCAGGACTTAAAGCTATAGCTGCTAATTTTGTAACTGCTCCACTCCTCGATTCGCTCGTGTTAAATTCCCACAATACATCTCCATTGAGATTAAGAATCTCGACTGTTGGCTTGTTGCTACTGCCATACGTTACTATCAGTTTACCATCATCAAATTTAACTCCTAGGCATTTCCCGTTTGTTTTGATTTTTTCGGTTGCAACAAGACCTGTATGTGTTGTTAACATTTGAATATGCTCTTCTTTACTCATAGTCACTGCAATTTTGTAAGAAGGTATGGCAGTTAAATCGGTTGGAGCCGAGTTGAACGTAATTTCTGACACTATGTTGTCTTGGTTTACATCAACTAGTTTTACATTTTGGTTCATCTTGTCTGCTACAGCCAAAATGTCATTAGAAAGGAAGGCAAGACCTGCAGCGTAACATGGTTTCTTATCCTCTTTCGAATGTATATTTACTGTACCAATATGCTGCTTTTCGAAATATTCTAAGGTGTTAAATGAATCTGCTTTTAAATCGATTATGTCAATGATGCCAAATATTTTTTCTTTGTTCATCAAGGATTCCAAATCTTTTGAAGGAAGAAATAACATTGTTTTGACTTTATTTCTTGTCGATATTTCATAAAGTCTCTCTTGGCAATCCACCATGTATTTCTCTGCGCGTTTTGCTTCAAAAAAGAGAGCGTTGCATTTGTTTTCTTTCTCCAACGTGGCGATCAAAGCTTCGGTTTCTAAATTTGTTTTGTGAAGTTGGTCCAGCTCAGATTTAATGTTCATCAATTTATCTTCATTGGCATTCTTAAAAGACATTACTTCATCGCGAAGTTCAATTTCAAACTTTTCTAAACTATCAATGAATTCTTTTTTAATATTTTGAACAACATCTAAAGCCTGTCTGCAGGCTATATCAACTATGGATGTATTTTCTTCTGTTTTTCTCATGCTGTCTGCGAATCTTGTTTTAAGTTCCTCTGAGAATACTTTATATTGAAAAAATTCTTCACTTTTCAAGAACTGTTCCGAAATATTAGGGATGTAAGCCGTTTTGCATTCTTTATGTGATATCATGCATGCTACACATCCTATCATATCATGTTGTCCACAGTAAAATTTAACTGTTTCCTTTTCATGTTCTGGGCACGTTGGTAACGGGTCTTTGGCACCAACAGAAGGACTACTGTTTACAATATTAAAACTTGAAGTTCTTGCCGTCCGATGAGTTTGACCACATCCACCACATAAGTGAATCTTACAGTTTTCACAATATGTAAGTGCTTCGTTATGTTTATTCTGCTTTTTTCCAGAAACCTCCATTTTGTATTAACACGTAGATCCACTATGCATAACGAGTAAAAAATTTCCGATGATTTACATCTATGTTGCACCTTGCACTGTTTACTTTGTACGTTCTTAATTGAAATTTATAATAGACATAAATTCCAATGATAAGCTTAAGAGGACGAATCATTTATCTATCAGAAAATATATCGGGGTAATACAAATATTCTAGTACAAAATGTATTCAATATGAATCTACGTTATATCCTTTACGCAAGGGCATAACTGGTAACGCCTAGTTTAGAATTTTGGCCACAGGGTCTTTATGGTCAGGTGTTAATGGAAAATGTTGAATAAAGATTTTTACATTGACATTGGATGATAAGTATTTTCATTTAAAATCTCTGAAAACCCATCAAGTACTGAATATAATAGTTAAAACAAAAACACCAGTTGTCTCAATTGTGTTCATCATAGGTGTATTCCCTTGTTTTGATAGTGTTTTACACTCCTTTCATATAATTGTTTACTTCACAACAGCAGGTGTCAAGTGCCGTGTGGCAGGCATTAAAAGTTGCCGGTCACACCTATGTTGTTATATTTTTCTAGTCCTTTCATTGATTCCAGGACGCAAGTGTTGAAAGTTGTAAACTGACTAGGCCGGTACAAAAGGGTGTTTAAGATGTTGCACTTAAACACTTAATTAAACATGATCACATCAAACTGAGACTGTATTATTTTATTATAGTACATGTTATATTGTTGTCTTCATTGCTGTTAAGTGATCATCCCTATTTCAGATGTTTTTGTTTTGTTTAAAACGAGATATTATCAAGGTAAATATCACTTCTTTTAAAACAGATACGCTAACCGACTGTTGAACAACACATTTATCAGTAAGTTAAAGTATTTATACATAAAACTTAGTATCGCGATCATTGATATTCATTAGTATCTCTCGATTTTTCTGTTTACTTTTTGTTCTTATCAGTGAATTCTATTCAGATTTTTCGTCATTAATTATTATGGCAAAACAACAAAAATCATTTCACATACATGTATAAACTACACGTTTTAAAATTTTGTATGAAGAGATGTGCAAACATTGGTCCAATACGGCATGTGCAGAATTAATAATTACTACCTACCTATCATAATCAAAGCTCCGTCTAACATTTTTAATGAAGTCGTCACGTTATGTTATTTTACTTGGTGTAACAATATATGTTTAAACTCATGTCTTATTTACATTAACTAAGGAAATTGTCTAATGATACTTGTGTTGAAAATAGTGTTATAGTTGATATTAAACAGAAAACAAAACACACATGAAGATTACAAAATTTTATTAGACAAGAATAAAAACATAAAAATATAGTTTTAAAGCTTAAATTTATTTTGTTTGATTTACAAAACACAGTTATTATGAGAAGCATCGCTTAATGAGGTTTTGCGACATGAGTTTTTTTTAATGATTTTCCGTTTTTTCGCGTGATAAAAAAGAAACCTTGTGAATGATTGTATCTTTCTGGTTCTTCGGGATGATTAATTCCGCCACTTTTTAGCCTAAAATTTAGTACCGCACAAGCCGGTTCTAGGGGGCGTGAGGGAAGTTGCACGTTTTCATTATCCGTCATGTACAAAATCAATTAAAATGAGTCTGCAATTTTCATGTAATTTTGTTGTTATTTATGCTTCCGAGGGATCACACTCGGGTTTTTATTACCAAAACAAAAGATGGTAGTGTACGTAATAGCTTGTGCATCACGTACGCTCCTAACTTAGACAAAGATCAAGTTTACCTTAAAAACCATCAAAATGTAGTGTCTTCAATGTGTTTAAATGTTCGACGAAGAGTTAAATGTACGTAGCATTCTTGATACTGATGACAAAAAAACAACCTACAATATGTAAATTTAGTGCCGTCAATTCATAATACGTTTTTTCTGGGCATATTTTATGACAAACGTATAGCATACAATGATATTGATGATACATGGCAGTGTGTGTACATTTATTGTATTTTACATTTTATTCTATTTCAGTCTCATATATACATATAAACATATTATTAAAAATACACAATATAAACATAAAATACATGTATAGCTATTCCAAAATAGAATTACAGGAGATTGTATTTTTACTTCTTCTAAGGGTGACAACTCTCTAGACCACAAAACATAAGTATTTCATGCACTGCAGATTTGTCTCCCTTAGCTACACAGCTAATATAATTATACAACGATTATGCTCTGAAACCACAAAAAACGAAAATTGCTTGAAAATCTATGTTAATAGTGAGATAGATACATGATACACGAGAATAAAGTCGAAATATTTGCTATAAACGTCATTAATGAGAGTATAATAAAAACAAGTATTTTGATCCTTAAAACTAACAAATATATATAAAGGACACTATGAAAGACCACGTGACATAGTACATGGTAATTAATGGTAGCACGAGCATAAATCCTGTTAAAGCTGATATTTACATCCCACGAAACCAGGTTATAATAAGATTATATTAAATAAGTAATAAGATTATATCAAATTTTATAAATAAGATGACAGGGAATCTGTTCTATTGACTTGCAGACAAGTCTACGTCCCAGCGAGGGTTGTGACATTAATGGAAGATAGATAGACTACATACACTATAAGCCTGTCCTGGAATGTTTTTCGGATCTAACAAAAATGTCTTAAACTGTATCTTATGAAAAGTAATAAAACAATATAATATTTAAAAATAAAGCTATAATAAATGGTGTCCAACAGTCAGTGGTGTAACATAAAACATACAATGTATGTAGAGTATCTTTACCATGTATTGTAAAAGTGTCAATGAAATCAGATGACCTTGTAACTGACTTTTCTTACATGATGCACTATGAAATTAGATAGGATTATTTTTTCATTAATATATCATGCTGTGCAGCTTGTATCAAATGACGTCATTGATGAGATGAGCCTGTCTATGTTGAGCAAGAAAAATATAATGTAACATTATATAATATTATATATTGTATATCATAGTTTATTCTATTTCTACATCTGAATCAGCCGAACACATTAAGTAGATCTAAACGTCTTCAGAAGCACAAAAATGTTCAGTTATACAAAACATCTAAAAGTTTTCGAAGTGGTGGGAATAAGTGGGGAAATCATCGTACTTGTTCATAGCTGAACATGCTTTGTCAACATTTAATGTCATTGGTGGCGGTCCACAACTGAAAACACCCACTTGTTTCGCCTGAAATTAAAATATAAAAAAATGTAATTGTGGCATGTTGTCTAATTAGAAGTAATGACCTCAAGTTAGGAAAACTGAACATTTAAAAAAAAACAAAATAGAGAAGAATGGAATACTTAAGAAACGCCCAAATGGGCAAAAATTGAAATTGCTGCTGGTTTGATTGAGCATGTCTTTGGCTGGTACTTGAAAGAGAAAACCTTATTTCGTTCAATGAAACATATCCAACTCCTAGCAAAATAGATACAGAGTAAACAGTTATAAAGCAACTGATGATGTTATAGCTATTAAATCATATAGAACACACTTATAGGAGGATATAAGTGAATAAGATACATGTTTCTAGCCCGCCACTTATCATGATAAACCTGGTATCACTACAATTACATACATATATATAAATGAAAAAGAAAAATAGTCATGATATAAAGGTAGTTTCAACACATGAAAAAAGGGTATTTTTCCACATTTGATAATGAATAGATTGCCATAACACAAACTATGTTTGAAAATCAAACTTACGGTGGGATGTTCATGATGTAAGGATTTGAAGAATTCCTCGAACTGAGGGCGTCCAAAATGTGTAGTCGCTCTTAGACCTGTGAACAAACTTTTCCCACAAACTTTCTGGAAATTTCTTTCACAGATGTACTGAAATATGCATGAAAGGACAATCATTTCACAACGTTCTTTCACGATATGTATCGAAACAGAGATAAAAAACACCCAATTCTTGATGTCACAAAATTGACATCAAAATGTAAAGTATATCGTTGCCTTTATTGGTTATTAATTTAAGAATGTTACTTCTTTGTAAATCTTTTAATTTGTAAATCTTTTAAAACAGATTGAACTATTCTGATTGGTTTTAACATATTTATTTAAGCTCGATTGCGAAACAAGTTCTTGCAAGTTATATTAATCACTTTCGAGTCCGCTTCCTGGAACCAACCAGCACTGGTGTCATATGAAGAAACATGGTCGTGACCCGAGTAGGGCTCGAACCCATGATCTCTGGGTTGAGAGGCAGACACCTTAATCACTAAGCCACCGCTTCTGATTGTTTATTCAATATTAAGTTTACTTTGGAATTCAAACGAATGAAAGGTCTTAACTAAAATTCGTATATTTTTCTTTCTTTCTAACTCACATATAAGCACGTATTAAGGTTTACTGTTTAAAAAAACCCTAAAACTATCTGCATTTATGAAACCTTTAAAGTGAATTGGTCTTTTGGAAAGTCTGTAATAAAATTATAAAAATACATTAAAGGTATCAGACATAACAACAAACCTAGAACAAAATGTAAGCAAGTGTGAAATAACACATATATAATCACCATTTAATGTTCATACTAAATCACTTATTATAATAACTTAATCAGCATTTTATTAAGTATCATTTTATAAGAATATCCAAATGATACATAACTGTTGTTTTTATCAATAATTGTGACTTTGCCCATTGTAGGCCAATTCACTATAAGATATAATCAAATTACCAGCATAGTTGTTCGTAGGTCAAATTTCTGTTGAAACTGTGTGATAAATATATGGACATTGACAAGATGATGTTGATCCT